AATGACAAAATTATTAAACTTGTTTTTTAAGTATTTTGTTTTAAAATTATGTATTAATTTAGCATGTAAAAAATGGTAATATTATGAGTAAATACGGAATAGTTCCTTATTTCTATGTACAAAACAGTCGTAATGAATTACTACAATCTCATAAATGAGTAGGCTACTAGTAAACAGATAAGGGCCTACTATAGTAAATACTGGATCTAGCATCAAATTAATAGCATTTACTTAAAAGTTAAAAGTGAAATTGATAAAAGTACTAGTCACTCACTGTTAGATAACTTTTACTAGCCTATAACAAAAATAGTATTAGCCTACTAGAATTTTTTTTTTTTTAAAGGAATAAACATCTTTCCATAGAAGGTCTGATCATTCAAACATATTTTTGTTTCCAACCATAAGTGCATCCGTGGCTCAAAGACAAAATAAGGTAATCGACCATGGGCCACTCACTAGAGTAGACTGATGATCATCTTCCATTATAGCGCCTCTAAATCATGTAGAAATAAAGCAGTCGCAGTACCGCACGCAAAACCCCAGCTATACGTTACCTCATGATGTGGTTTATTTATCTTGCTTTAGGGTAAAGGTAAGCGATGCGTACCGGACACCATTCAATGTCATCCACATACAGTGCAGTGCGTACACGTACGAGCTGCCTGTGCTATCGGCTCGACTTACCAGATAGGCTCCTACAGTGCCCTGTGCCAACATTAAGGCACATTCTGATATGAGGAATATTTTGATGTTGGAGAAGCATGATGTCTTCTTCTGGCACGCGTCTGGCTCAGTGTCTGGCGTGCTTCCCTCAGCGTACATCCTCTGATGCGGACTGCAGCAAGCAGAAAGACAGGCTCAGACAGAAGGTGACCATTGAGGACGAGTGCAGATGGATCCTCAACAAGACGTGCACTTCTCCATTAATATCGCCTCCGGTTCCGGTCCGCTTTCAAATCGAGTCTTATGAAATGAATCTTGAGCGTTCTTAGTACTGTCACCTCAAACACTGCGCACTCGCATCTGATCCGTTGATCTGAATGGTCCAAAGAAACCGACGGAAGACCAATGCAGCCTATTAATAACCATGAACATCAGCGACACGCGGAAACTGCGATATTACGTGAGGCGGTTACAGTGAGTCCGCTGTTCTTCCGTGAGGAGAGTTTGCCGGTGTGGAGGACTCAGCTCATGCGTGTCCCCAACTACACCACAGCCTGCACCAAATGATGACCTCTCTCTCCTTTTCATTTCTACTGGCTCAGTTTATTTCCTCCTCCTCCCACAAACACATCTATTAGGTAGGTAGGTAGGTAGGTAAGTAGATAGATAGATAGATAGATAGATAGATAGATAGATAGATAGATAGATAGATAGATAGATAGATAGATAGATAGATAGATAGATAGATAGATAGATAGATAGATAGATAGATAGATAGATAGATAGATAGATAGACCTCAAGATGATGCATGGACCTATTTATTAATAATTTTATCAATAATAAAAGGGCTCAATCAAGAGAAAAAAATTAGATTTTGTGTCAGACTTAGTGCAGTTGTTTCTGAATTGTCAAAGTGAACTTTATTCCCAGACTAAAAATAACCCTCAGTATGTGTCCCCTGAGAGCAATGTGCCAAACTAGGGATGTATGAGCTGCTGACCAAATGATCACACAGGCCTGTATTAAAGGTACTGTTCACCCCAAAATAAACCTTCTGTTATCATTTACTCATGTTGTTCCAAACCACGACTTTATTCTGTGCAGTCATTCTCTTTCACTCTCAGGACAAAATTATCAAAAACATTCTTCTTCATCTCCCCTATAAAAATCAAGGTTAAATATTAATTATGTATCAGTACAGAATCGTTGTCAGTTTAAGCCACTGCACTGTAGTTCTATAATTAATATGTTCTTGCTTTCTAAGTATTTTTAATGAGTAAAATAGTCCAAATACACAAATAATTCTTTCAGTCTTTCTGATAAAAGACAACACTGTTGTCTGCGTCATGCAGCAGTCATTTAGTGTGGCTATATTCACAGCAAGTGTGATTGTAGGTAATCAGTGGTTTTGCGCTGAAGGTCTCTGTGCTTCAATACTCTGAGGCAAAGACAATTTACTGCTGCCTGGAGAATGGACTCAGCAATAGCATAACAGTATATCTCAGACTGTCTTTGGAGGCAGGGTTGATTTACACACACGCACGCGCACACACACACACACACACAATATTGACTGGTTGTTTTTTCTTTTTTTTAATCCATCCTACAGAGCAAGACTCACCACTCCTTGTGTTTTCCCATCTGTCTATGGCTCTGCTGGGCTCTTACAGTGATTCATATTGAGCCAAACAGCACTGTACTCAATTATAGCATCGGACCCCTCTCTTTTTCAAGCACTTGCATCATCCCACCATCTTCTTGTCTTTTACAATTAAAGTAAACAATTTGGCATATTCTTAATTTAAACTTTATTTTCTTGCTTGATGTCACTTTTAAATACTACCAAAACCCTAATATTCATCAGTTGATAAGATGTAATCCATAATTAATTTGTTGTAGTGGGCTGATTCATCACAATGATGTCAAAAGGCATCAGGCAGTGAATATGAAAGTGCTGCTGCAGTAACTGTCTGACACTAAATGTCAATAAAACAGACAGGTTGTATTGTACATAAAGAGACCCAAGAGCACTCCACAGAGGTGTACTTATGGGTCTCCAAAAATTACCTTTTAAACTCATTTTTCAGTGGACAAAATTCAAGCATGGAACAACTATCCCACAAAAAAAAAAGAAACAAAAAAAAAGGTTATGGCATACTGTTTCTTTAGTAAGAAACTATGTTTTATACACAAGTATTGATCGCTGTAAAGTATTGATGTAATGGCCATACACTGGTCTTGGTCTTGTCTCTCCTATCGAACCCTGTGGTCTTAACTGTGGTCTTGACTGTGGCTATATACTCTAAACACTGCTGCTTTTGTGCAAGTTTGCATTTACATTTTATATTCAATGAATAGGCTATATTTGCTGGTATATAAACAGTAAACTCCAAATTGTCATGATGTGTTCATTAAAGGGCAATAAAAGGCAACCTTTTATTCTTCTACACTTCTTGTTATTACTGAGTGGGAGTATACTATGCATGCTCTCTGTATGGAGAATAGTCACTGTGATTTTGGCAAGTAAGACATGTTCATGGATCAACATCTTTTGGTGATCCTAAAAACAACATTCCTGTCCAAAAATCCTAACCCTATCCACCCAATACCCATACATTATCCCCAAAATTGAAAATGATAGCTGAATAACATTGATGCAGAAGCACCTAACCCTGGTTTGTAAGCCTAAACTTGACATAGACTATAAATTTGTCCCTCAAATCTGATTGGTTGATTGGAATGTTGTTCCAGAATCAACAAAGATGTTTGATTCAGGAACATGTTGTACTCTTTGAAATCACGTTCACCTATGTGAGATCTACAGTGCAGGGGGACATCTAGTGGTTCAGTGGTGTAGTGCATTGCATTTAGTGAACGAAAGCAAACATCACAAAGTTGACAACAGGAGAATCATATAATTGATCTTTGAACAAAGATGTGACATTGTATGATACTCTAGTTCATTCATATTGTACAGCTCTTTGAGTTATGTTCACTTAATCACTTAGCTTTCAAAGATGTAAGCTTTCACAGATTTTAGATTATATGGATCATAATATTTGATCAGTTTCACTTTTGGAGCTTTTATCAGTATATTATACACAGAGAGAGAGAGAGAGAGAGAGAGAGAGAGAGAGAGAGAGAGAGAGAGAGAGAGAGAGAGAGAGAGAGAGAGAGAGAGAGAGAGAGAGAGAGAGAGAGAGAGAGAGAGAGAGAGAGAGAGAGAGAGAGAGAGCAACTGAAATATATCTGACATTCAAGGATGTAGTCATTATTTTTTTTAATTACAGAGCTCTACAATTGCAGTTTTTACTAACAACAATTTCAATTAGAGAGCTCTGTAATTCAATTCTTACTAATAGCAATTATTGCTCTCTCTAATTGTAATTGTTACAAGTAAAACTTAATTAGAGATCTCTCTAATTGTACATTTTTAATAAGAATTGATTTAAAAATCTCTCTAATTGTAATTGTTACTGGTAAGAACTGAATTAAAGAGCTCTTTAATTCAATTGTTACTAGTAAAAATGCAATTACGACAAGTAACGCTGAGAACATTAAAAGCTAATTTGGCTTGCCAGAAGCTAAAGTAGGCTACTCATAAGAACATATGTAAAATCAGTATGGCAGGTATATTGGGATGATAATGAAACTGGTAGACATTTATATAATATACAAAAACAAGTTGGTGCTGGGAGAAGGGAGAGCAGGAATCGAAGAGAAGGAAGTATCATAACACGGATGATAATAGGTCATACTGGACTAACAGTACATATAAAATTGGAAAACACCCAACTGGGGAATGCATACACTGTAGCCAAATAGTTGAGCATGTATTAATACATTGTAGGAAATATAATAATGAGAGATGTCACCTTATTCAAACATTGAAGAAAGTAAAACATCATGACCCTACCTTATCAGGTCTATTAATGGAAACAGATAGTAAGGTTTATGATGAGATTATTAAATTTGCGAAAGAAAGTAATTTATATAATAGAATATAGCGGTTTTTTGTTAATTTATTATGTTTTATTTTTCAGTTTGTTTATTTGTTTTGCTTGGTTTTTATGTTTGTTTATATTTAGTATAAAAGCAAATAACTTGATCCATGTTCCATTCCAGTTGGTGGCGGTAATGCACCAATAAGATAGGTTGCCAACCGCCAATAAACACCAAAGAAGAAGAAGAAGAAGAAGAAGAAGAAGAAGAAGAAGAAGAAGAAGAAGAAATCGAGCCGTCTGACCGTTTGACGCCACACGGTCGGACGCCCCACCACGATTGTTGACTGACAGCAGTGTTTCAACACAGACCCGCCCTGAGCGAGCTATCATCATAGTCTGCCATTGTTGATACTGGAGCAGAATGGCGTCTAAGCGATTGTGGTGTTCTGTTCTTGGGTGTAATAACGAACACATCAGTCATTTTGATGTTCCTAAATCCGAACCGCTGAAGACGCAGTGGCTGAGTTTTGTTTTCAAAGGGAATATCCCCCCTCTTCAACGTCAATGCATTCATGTTTGCGCGAATCATTTCTCACCCGATTGCTTTATAAACGAGGGTCAGTATAAAGCTGGTTTTGCTAAGAAGCTGCTCCTGAAAAAACAATCGCTACCAACTATTCGTGTTCCTGCTGCACCTCCAGGAAAAGTGAGTGTAAAATTTTATTAACCTTTGCAAATCGCTTGCACGCTTCACGATGAATGCGGCTAAGGTTTACACTCAGGGTAAGTTACATTACGGCATGTTTTCTATGTACGACGTTCTCAATATAATTCATAATCCATTATGATTATTGTGACGTTATGACAAACTGTGTATTACGCAGGTGTTTAAAGTTAACGTGGTAACACTACACTAAGCTTACTTTTGTAGATGGTTTATATCGGTGTCTGTTGCTGATTAAGAAGTAATGTAAAAAAAAAAACAGTTATAGCTGCATGAAGATAACACAATACCTGCAAAATACTGTTTACATCCTGCAAATGCATATGATTCAAGACTATAAATACTCTAATTGATGATGTTCAATATTACGCCGGAATAAGTTATGTTTTCTGATCACTTAGCCTATTTGCTTTTATATAGGCAAGCACATCTGAAGAATTGGACATGGTGCAACATGTGGCCAGCCAAAAGAAAATGTGCACAGTTGGCACCCAGCTCTCAATGGAAACTTTTTGTCCGCACTACAAAAGCACAGGTTTGCTGATCCAGATCTTATATAGTGTGAAGTTTTGTGGTATTGTCAGTAATAATATTTATTGGATTTTTCATTTTATATTATTCCACGGTATTAAAATGTCAACTATTATGTAACAGGCACACAGACAACTATGTTATACCCAGATATTGGTGTTGGCCAGTCAATACCACTGCTATCATCATCAACAACACCAATAAAGAGGCCAAATAAGAGATCTCGCTTGGAGCTAGAGGAGGAAGAGGAGGACCCTTCTGGAACCAGCTCAAGTATGAATGTGGAAGAGCCTTTGGATTCCACATATGATCCAGCTGACTCTGTCACACACTTGAGTGAGCCAACAGATGTTATGTAAGTGGCAAGACTATTTTTTTGTAAAATATTGCAATCAGTTCGATTGTATTTTTATTTATTTTTATGTTTAAGTAACTCTTTATTATTCTAATAGATTTGAGTCTTCAAAGGCGGTTCACAAGACAGCGACTTACATTGTTTATGAAAACTGCCTGCTGCAGCTTTTTGAGAAGTGCCCTGTGTGTCAACGTATTACCAATGTACAGAGAAAAGTATTTGGCACATTCCTCTCTGTGCAACAACGCTGCCCACATTGTGACTTCTTCAGAAAATGGAATAGTCAGCCAATTATACAAAGCACTCCTGCAGGGAACCTCCAGCTTTCTGTCGCAGTGTATGCCAATGGTGCCTCTTTCTTCAAAGTTAAAAAGGTAAGTTGGTGAGGATTTTACTGTCTAGCCTATATTATTTACTATTGCAAGTAATATCACAAAGATCAACCCTGAACAAAAGTAAGTCATGCTAAATGAAGGAATCCTCTTTTCTGACCTTAGATATTCCAGGCAATGAAACTGAAAATGATCCACTACACCACCTTTCGAATTCATGCCCGGAGGTACATACAGCCTGCAATTGTACATAGCTGGAAGACAGCACAGGATGGCATGTTGCAGCAGCTCAGACAGCAGCAGAACATTGTCCTGGGCGGAGACATGAGGGCAGATTCACCAGGTACTAAATGCTGAACAACTGTCTCAGTTTACATATTACTGAGAAAGCAAAACACACAGAGTAATAATAATAAATACCGAATGTAATACAAAGTAAACATTACTTTGGTCATTCAGCCAAGTTTGGAAGTTACTCACTGATGGACCTAAGGAGCAGCACTATTATTGATCTGCAACTAGTTCAGGTGAGTCTAACATTACAGACTTATGCAAGATGTAATGCATATGCAATGTAACAAAGTGAATGTACAGAAAAAAAGGCACAGGGATTTTTCTACTGTGTAGCTATTCGCTAACATAACAGGCATTGTCAAACAATTGTCATGTATGCCCTTTATTTTGTAATCAGAGTAATGAAGTTGGAGGGAGCAACAACATGGAGAAAGAGGGTCTGAGGAGGAGCCTTGATCTCTTGAGGGCACACGGTGTGACTTTTGACAGCATTGTTACAGACCGGCACCCTCAAATACAAAAACACCTGCGGGAGGCCAACATCACACAGTATTTCAATGTGTGGCACATTGAAAAAGGTATTAGCTCCTGTCTGAGTACGTGTTGTTTATGTGCCTAATGACTGTCGTAGTCTCACAGACTGGTTATTTTTTAAACGGATCAGTAAAATTTTATTACAAAACATTGATACAAAACCATACCTTTGACCAGAACTTCCTTTTTATTATATTGTGTTCAATAAACACACTGTATCTTTCTGCATGGCTGCATTAAAGTTTGTTTATATTATTAGGAGTATCAAAGAAACTGCTGAAGATTGCTCAGAACAAAGACTGTGAAAAACTGCAGAAGTGGTATCGCAGTATAAAAAACCACATATATTGGACAGCGGCTTCTTCTTCATCAGGGACAGAGCGAGTGGCAAAGTGGACATCAATTCTTAATCACATCCAAGACGTGCACACACATGATGATCCCGTTTTCCCACAGTGTTTGCATCCGCAAAGCAATACAACGGACAAGAGCAAGTGGTTGAGAGCAGGTGTGTTTACCCTATTAGCAGTGTCAATATAACTGATGTGTCTGTGTATACGACAGACATAATTTTTTTTCCTCTTAAATTAAATGTACGTTTTTTATTTTTAAATATAAAGTTTAATAAGTTCCACTTTCCCACCAGGAACAACTGCCTTTTCTCGATTAGAGAAGATCCTCAGAAACAAGAGGATTCTGAAGGATGTTGAAAAACTGAGCCCTCACCATCAGACCTCATCACTGGAGGCGTTCCACGGCGTAATTCTGCGCTTTGCGCCAAAGAATGTTGTCTTTTCTTTCCTGGGAATGTTATGCAGGTAACTCAATATAATTGGTAGTGTATACACATTTTCAAACACGCAAGTGTGACCTAAGTAATGTTTAACCATTATGTATTCTCTATAGACTGTACCTGGCAGCCCTACATTTTAATGAGAATGCTGGGCGTCCCCAAGCCATGACAGCAGCTGGAGAGCCACTATTTAAGGTGGTTTTCCCAAAATACAAGAAAGGACAATATTCTGCAAAGCCAGTGAAAATAGAACCAACCTTCCGTGAGTGTAAAAACTTTTATTTAAATGCAAAATAGTTGTTTTATGTACAGACATAATATCAGAAGCTGAACATAAATTGTTTACATTTTTTTTTTTTTTTTTTTAAATGACACCTTATAGACAATTTTATATACAAAACCATGTAGCCACAACACTAAGTGAGCAACACAACTTCAGAATAAAATGAAAATAACAAAAAAAAAAATGTTTTATTTGTACAGAGTACGTGGACAACCTGTTGGAACTTATCTTTGAGAACGTTGTTGTGGACCCAACCCCTTATATGGACGATATCCTGAAGATCTCCATACCTGAGGATCTCACTTCTCAGTTTGACAAAACAGACAAACAAACAGGAAGTGATAGACAGCTATGTGTCTAGGTTTAATCAAGGGCAGGTCTGAACCCTACATATTGTCCATGAGCATTAGGGAATTTTGCCCTTATTCGTCGCACCACACAGGAGGGCAGCACAACCCTGATTCTCCAGCCCAGAATGCCCCCAACACCAGCTGACGAAACTTCTGTATGCTAAAAACCTGTAACGGCTGAGAAAATTAAAGCATTTTTTGCTGTGAAAATAAATGCTATTTAATCTCATAATTTCATTTATTTAATGCTGTTTGTTTTTTGACAAATATTTCTGCTGTTACTGCATTTTTTTGTGTTAATAACTTATTACATCCCTCTGTGGAATTCAGTAAAACAGTATTTCTGTCAATAAATGTTAGTCCAAACAGTTTTGTGTCTATTCATTATTTGGTCTTTCATGCTGAATGGTATGTTATTAAAAATTACATTACAGTTGATCACTTACCCATAGTGAACTTTTTGCTTTGCACTGTAGTCGCTTGTTATAATAGAAATTATGACTGAAATTAATCAAAACTCAATTTACCCTTCAATTCCCCTTAAACCTAATGGCCCATAGTCTGCTCGGTAGATGTTTAATGCATTCTGAAGCGAGAACAGATTTAAACAAACAGGTTCCAGGCCTGGATGATCAACCACACATTAAGGTGGATTTTCCAGCTGCTGTAACCTTCTTAAAACCTACAAATTATGAATATGGTAACTGCCCTAAGATTGTTACACGATGATTGCATAATAGTAATACAATTTAGGAAAAGTACTGTACATGTGGTATCTCCCTGCAGCATATATTCTCAGCCTCTGTAGGCATTTGCCCACAAAGACACCTGAAACAGGAATATCAATGTAGTTACAATACTGTAGATGAACTTGAATGTTATCCTAAAACATTTTCATACTGCACTGGACATAAACATACATTATAACAAATTCTTAGGTGTCCTTTAACTACTGCTAGAAACATTCTGGCCGTGACCTCGTGTCAGTGCTTCAGCCCTGACAGTTGTACCTAACACTGCATAGATAACATTACACATCACTGACAAGCCTACATTTATAGAAAAAAAGTTTTTCATGACCATTAGCTGTAACATTAATCTGTCAATGAACTAACGTATACATCAGTAAACAGTAAACACATAGCATTCGTATCTCACTACTCTACCCTGCCAGTGCATACAAAGATAGATCAAAGTGACATTACGTTAAACGAAAGACGTCAGAAACGTCCTGTTCGAGCCTTAATTGTCGAACTTCTACGGGGCCGTCATCTTGTTCCGGGTCCGTCCGACTCCGGTTCAAATCGATACGGTTGCACAGATGTGTCCTCAGAGACTCCCGCTGCCATTCTTTCTCCAAAATATACCCTCAACTGTTGTCAAGGCAACACTCCAGGTGTGTTGTGTCAAAACGCCCCACAGAACAGAGGGGCGGAGTGAGCAAAACTCATTATCAATTAAAGACACATGCACTTAAATGGCGTGCTGAAAACAGCTGTTTTTAACCAGGTATAATGAGTGTTTTCTTACAATACTAATGAGAATTTTTTATTAAAGTATATTACAAACTTTTCATTTAGACCCTAAAGAATCAAATTAACTTGTATAAAAATGGCATTATGACCCCTTTAAACCCATCTCGACACCGGGGATGGCTACTCAAGCCTTGGCCCAGGTGGCTAAGGGTTGAAGTGGTTCAAGCGATAGGCCGCTGTGCAGGAGACTGGCACTCGAGATAAATGGAAGAAGAAATCTGCTCTCTTTTTGAGAATGTTTGTTTTTGATCTTGTACGCTACAACTTGAACAGGCTTAATGCTTGCAACAAACGCATCACTACCAACACCCAGAACTGTACGTAGGATCGGAAGACAAAATTGAGGCTGTTTGGGGGGTGGTCCGGCCGTGGTGAGACTTAGTCCCCTCCTCTTCCTTCCTGAAGGATGAGGACAGCTTCTGAGGCGCAGGATCCAGTGTTATCTTAGGCCGGGGACCTTGGTGCTTCGGAAAGGGCTAGCGCTTGGCGGAGAGGTAGCGCTCTCGAGGCTCAGACTCTGGCTTTGGCTTCACAGGTTGCTGAGTCGGCATACTCTTCTGGCGACTTGAAGCTTGGGCAGGAAGTGGCGCATCGACTGCGATGACTTCTGTGCACCGGTGAAGAGTTTGGCGAAACCTTCCACCGCGGTGCCGAAGAGGCCGGTGGGGGAGACTGGAAGTCGAGGAAGGCAGCCTGGTCTGCGTCCTTGATCTCCGTTAGGTTGAGCCATAAGTGGTGTTCCAACACCACTAAGCTGGCCATAGCTCTGCCGATAGCCTGGGCTGTAGTTTAAGTGGTGTGCAGCTCTTTAAACACGGCAGGGTTGGGCCGGACTCGATCATGGTACAGGGGAGTTAGGCCTGAAAGACCTGCAGGACCGCCATATTGTAAAGGACAGAGACCGTCTCTTCAGCCAAGGGTGTAGGCTCGACCAGCGAGGGCTGAAGAGTGCTGAAGCACTTTAGCCTTCAATCCAATTAACTCGGCATACATCCCAGCTCTATCTTCGCTCAAATCTCTAGACGGAAGGCTGCTCATCAGAAGTGTGCAGGGATGCCCTGCACATGCCACACTTGTGGCGCGGCATTTGAAACAACACCACGTGAAATTTGCTCAGAATTTGCTCTTTTAGAAAGTCAGCACGTCAAACCGCTTGCTCTGAGTCAGCTTGATCCGCTGCGAGGCTCTTCGACGGCGAAAAGGCTTCTTGTTCGTCGCTGAAGGAGAATTAATCTGAGTTCCTATGCCAGAATGCCCGCATTATATCGAGGGGTAGCCCCACCCATCTTGGTGGGCTCTGGCGGGCCATTGGTTCGTCCAACTCCGCAGCACAACCATTGGCTCATGAAGTTACACTGCGTGATTCTATAAGCTTCAGTAAATAAAGAAAAAGGAGTTTTCCCAATGCGTCTAACAACGCAGTATGAGTGAACTGCATCGATAAGGAACTGGTTGTCAATAGAATAACGTAACCTGCAGAAACATTCACTGAAAAGTCTCCTTGTACATTGCACACACCAACACCCTGTTTACAGACAGTAACAGCATATAATCCATAGGAACTAAGAAACATGTTCTATAAAAAGTTATAAAAAAGTTGTGTAATTGGATATAGAACTAACCAGGTGTATATATACATACAGATATAGATATGGAATTATGTATTCTCAGTTTTTTAAGGTATTGTGTAAAACATATTGAACTTAAATCCATGACTGTGCAAATATTATCACATTTATTTTGTGCATTAAATTAAATGTTTTTAACCACACTTCAGTCTTATAGCCTACTTATATGAAATCATCAATTCCGTATCCTATGTATAATTACTGCAACAGGTGTTCATTGAATGTTAGTTTAATAAATGAAAGATAGTAGTGTAGGGATACTCGGGATTATTCCTATTAGCTCAGATACAGGGAATATGATTTTAATAACGAATCAGGAAACATGGTTTCATCGGGAATCACCTACAAATTATAAAATTACCCGTAAGGGAATAAGTTGCCAATGTTCTGTATGAAGGCAACGAACAATTGTACTATCAATAATCAATGACAATGATTATACCGGTAATTAAATATTAATATGTCAATTATCTAAAATAGATCGATTGTCAGAATAATCTTTAAGGGATGCTTGCACACGCAAGGTCTCTCGCTCGCTTTCCCTCTCTGCCGTGCGCGCGCTACGTGGTTTGGAGCACAATCTCTGTCTCGCGTGCGCGCTCGCTCTAGATTCCGGGAGATTTTAACTAATTTGCGGTACAACTAGTCGATCACGAGTGGCTCAACAGGTAGATACATATAAACTCATCTTCCAGGCATTTGACCGACCAGGTTGACACTTCAGCGTGAGAAATCGGGGGTGTGGCGTGTGAAATCAAATGCGTGTCTCACGGCCAATGCGTGAGAGTTGGCAGCTCTGCTAAAACAACAAAACACTGAAAGAAAATGAAAGTGAAAGAAACAGGAAGTGGTCAACAGTATGGAAAATTCACAGAGATAGGAACCTTGAGACAGAGAGACACCAAGATATCGAATCATAAACCCATTAAAGCTCGATAACACGAATACTTGCATATATGGCTCTCTTATGTTGCTGAACAAGGCTGCGTGAGTGAGCGTCCTCGTGGGAGCGTCACGTGGTCTGCGGATGGGTCCGGAGCACGCACTTCAACGAAGGTTTAAAGGTCCTTGACGTAAAGTTACCAAAGAAACAATTCAGGCTAAGTTCATTACTCGTCTGTGGAAATGAACAAAGTAGAATACGAAAAGGAAAAACAAAACTTAACCAAATAAAACAAAAACTAACGGACTGAAGAGAAGATACTGAAGAAGGTGAAAAGGACTGAAGACTGAAGACCAGGAGGAACTGGCGTTCCATCCTTTTGAGGAAACCGGAGTTTACACCTCTTTTGGGGTGAACGGCCAATCTCCTTTGAGGATTTCGAGAGGGAAACTTTTTTCTTTGTCCTGTCACCGCAGCTCATCTACATAGTTTATGGCAGTGACAGAAACGTGGTCAGTCTCCCTACAGAGATGGTAAAACATAGTAAAATACATTTTATCACAATCTACTACATAGGTTCAGCTAAGACAAACCGAGAGGTTTACATCGATACCAAGAAAGATGTGTTTGGCACATACAACAACAGAGATTTATTCCTATAACTTGAATATAGGCGTATAGAGTTCAACTAACGCAACTAGAAAGTCATAATTATACTAAAATGAAAACAGAACACATTGGTATATAAGGATGTATTGCACCTTTTCCAGAATTGTTACTTTATAGATTTCAATGAAGGAATGTCTGTTTGTGTGTGTGCGTTTTTGGAGTGAGCTTTTCTTGACCACCTGGCATGGCTCTGAGGAGATACTGATCTCTTTGAGCCTCGAACCCATGGCTGTGTGTAAACATTTGCATGCCATAAAGGTGTCAATGGCAATTTTAACGCAGACTCGGTGGTGCCAGAAGAGAGAGTTACGGATTCAAAGGGTTAAAAGCCTTTTTACATGTAGAATTGAATGAGTCCAGACTGACACAGTCCAGATACACTACAGTAGTTTGCTTTTAAATGCATGTGCAGAATCTATCTTCTTTTAGGTTTGCCATATGATTCTGAAAATATGTTAGGGTTCAAATAGATTGTAAATTGTGAAAGGTGTTATTAGAGAAAGTGTCACGATCACCAGCTGGAGTGCCCTGGACGTCCACCAGAGTTCATTGTCATTCTAGACTACACTTCCCATAACTCTCTTCCTGGACTCATCATGCCTAATTGTTTTCACCTGTGGTTCATTAGCCTGTTGGTGTTTGCCTATTTAAGCTGTGTTCTCGTTTGCTTTTGTTGTGTAGTCTCGTTGGGGTTACCACTGCATTTTTGAGCACCTGTATTCTTGGATTATGCCTAGTTTGACTTGCTGAGTGTATTTGACCATTTGCCTGCTCTTATGGATTGTCCTTAATGCTGCACTTGGATGGCTCATAAAGTCTCAGAGCAGTGAGTTTTTAACAGAAATTATTCAAAATCAAATAAAAACGTTAATTTTAAATTTTAAAATTTTAAAGGCCCACTGAAGTGCCTTGGAACGTGCAGCTTTGTTTGATGCGTTGACAATTTCCACTGAAACAGGAAGCTAAGGCAGGACATATTAAATGGCTCCTCCCCCTTTTCAAATAGCCAATAGCGTTTAGTTTACCTCACACTGATGATACATTGGCTTCAATAGTAGAGGTGGGAATAAATTCTAGCCATTTCATTCTTAACCAATGTACAGTTGGAAAACGGAATAAAACACAAGCGTTTTTAGCAATCAAACACACATCTCCAACCCATATTTCTCTGTGACGTGTCAACGGTTGCTTTGGCCAGGTGGTATAGCATAGTGGGCAAGACGCTTTAGATTCTAGAGAGTATTTGATTGGGCAGAAGATGTGACGAGAAGCTGAAAAATCTGAGATTCATTTTAGCGGAAGTGAAAGACTGTAAGTTGCTTATATCTCCTAAATGCGAATTTTGTCATTGTTTTGGAACACACCGGCTTATTCATCATAACCTTAAGGCTAACATATTCATACTAAAAAAACTTAGATTTTGATTTCAGGGGGTCTTTAAGAAACTGCATGACAACAACTAATCAATTTTAAACTAATCAATTTTTAAAAATGTGAAAGTGCATTTGTTTTTCTAAAAGTATTCATATTTTCAGACTGTTGCAGGTAATTAGATTTTTGAGAAATGGGTTCAAAAAGTTAAATTGTTAAATTGTAAATTAATGAAAAGGAAATTTGTTAATGGAGGTCTTTTTAAACAAACTTTAAACTTTTTTTTAATTCATTTCACATTTAAAGTAAATCATTTAATAAAGATGACAAAATCAGACATGACAAAAGCAGTGTTGGAACATATGGATAAAAACAAAGGACTTGGATTTCCTAAAGATGCTCAATGTTCTCGTCCCTGAAACTGAAACCGTTTTAAGGCTGCGAGGCTTTCAGTGGAATCACTAGCACTTCTGAGCTCAGCGTTTGTCCTGCTGTGGGACACATTGACCTTCCTGACAACACTCTTTCACATCACATGTGTCTCTCTATTGCCTCTGAGCATGATATTACTAAGCACATCGCAAACCAAAAACAAAATCATACACACACACAGAAAGACTTTATGATACAAGTGACTAAAAGTAACCTCCACATTTTTTAGAGAAGTATCAAACTACCAAAACAGCTCAGTTTAATCTTTATCATGCTTTTTTTTGCAGTTTATAGACCTTTAACCCTAACCCTTTTATCTTATCTCAATTCCTTCTTTAAAATGCATTAGCAAACTAAGGGATATAGTTCTCCCAAAAATGAAAACTCTGCCATTAATTACTCACCCTCATGTCGCTCCAAACCCATAAGACTTTAGTTAATTTTCTAAACCCAACTGAAGATCTTGATGATATCCGAGAGATTTCTGTTCTGTCCCTCCGTTGGCAGCTACGCAACAACCACTTTGATGCTTAAAAAAGTTCATAAAGAGATCGTAAAACGAATGCATATGAATATAGCGGTTTAGTCCAAATTTTCTGAAGAGACACAATCGTTTTATATAAACATATAAACATTGATCAGCGAACATAAAAAGAAGCTCAACCGAATCTGCTCTATGCGCGAGAACAAACCTCTTGCTGAAGCTCAAACGTGCTGCGTAACACGAGAATGAACCTCATTGCTTGAGCTTCTGTTTACCACAACTGATGTGTGAGTTGATGAATGTTTACATGTGAATAAAAGCCTAAATTCAATCTGTTCGTCATATAAAATAAGGGTTTCCGCGTTTACATGACCACGTGCGTTGTCGGCTACTCGGCTTATTAAGCATAATCGGATGTTTTTAAATAAACACTGACAAAAAAAATTGTTTTAGGGCTGGACAATATAACATTGATATGAGTGATCGCCCAGATTATATATATAACATTGATATGAGTGATTGCCCAGATTTAAACCTACCTATATTGTATTTATATAAAGCGTTCAGGTAAATTTGCTTTATGTAGGACTATTTCCCCGTTGTCGAAATCAGGCACATATAAATGTCAGGAAACACGATTAGCCTACTGGCTGCATTTCAATATCCATGGATCACTGGATCTTTGGTAAGTTGTTAGGAACACTATATCGAGTCCAAACTTTAGTTTAAACTGAAAATTGTTTGCTTTACTTGCGTTTTCGCAGTTTCCCCTATTAAATCCAGCAGGGACATGCGGAGAGTTCCTCAGGGGCAGGGGCTCAAATGTAAAAAGGGGCATAAAAAGCTGGATATATATGCTTTGCATCACAGAAATAAATGGTATTTTTCAAGATAGTATAAAAAATAGTAAAATAGAAAAATAGAAAGTATATTAAAATAGAAAACCATTATTTTAAATATAATTTATTTCTGTGTTTTTGATCCAATAAATGCAGGCTTGATGCGCATAAGGGACTTAAAAAAAAAAGAATAGTAATGTGTGTGCAGATTTTTGACCAGTAGTACTGTACTATAATACTATTGCTGCAAAATTATCAAAAATGTTAAAATAATAGTCACCATTTCGATTGTTGTTGTCTGCCTAGTGCCTACACTTCACATAACAGGCCTGTGGGCCTGGGCTTCATTTATCAAACTATGATAGTTTCATCAAATGGTAAACGGTGTATCAAAAAAATACAAGTGACTTGAATACTATACTTACCATTAATGCTACTTTTGGTGCTGGTTTTGTGCAGTGCTTTGTAGTCACTTAACATCCATTAGTTCAACGACGCAGATTCAGATCGCTTCATAAATGTAAATTCGTCTGTCCCATAGACTGTAATAAAAATAAAAATAAACACATTGTACATAATCAAATGCATTTTGTTTTATTGACCACAATATTATCATTGATATTTGTTTGAGAAGGGCACTTTTGATTAATTTTTAAATAGGGCAGGGGCACCCAAAGCCCCTCTCCCTCTGCACGTGTCTGAAATCCACTCATGCAGCAGCTCTTTTGCCACTCAGTCCGGATGAGGGGGGCGTTTTCCGGCGGGAAAATGACGTCAATGCATACCCTCAATATTAAATAATCACGCCCCCGGTGATGCTGCGATTCATTTGGACACTTACACAACTGATGGTCAGCTCATCCAGATGACCACAGAACTCTGGGGTCACAAACGAGCCATGGCCATCTAAACAAGGGGGCAACATTAAGGTAGGCTAATTATTTGTTTACGTTTCTTGTAGCCTTGTATATTTTATGGACTGTCATTTAAAGTAAGTATACAGTTTCTGGAATGACACCTCTTGGGATTCTTTTCCAGCTTCCACGTGTTTAACTTACTGGGTCTGAACAACCACCTTACATTACTGATCTACTGATCTGGCCATTAAAGCTCAAAAGAAGCATGAACTCAACTCATCACATCGAGGATCTTTTTCAGAAGAACTCCACCTGTAAGTATGATGCCAAAAACTTTAACTCGAACAGCACAGAAGATCTTCCTCATCCTCCTCATCTTCCGCGCTTCACCACCGCGGCTCAGGTCCGAGTGACGCTCACGGTCATCCTGTGCGCGCTGTCCGCCTGCTGCAATCTCGCCGTGCTTTATTTAGCCAACCACGACCACAGAAAACGCTCCCACGTTCGGTTGATCATCACCAATCTGGCTGTGGCGGATTTACTGGTGACGTTCATCGTCATGCCGCTGGACGCGGTGTGGAATATAACGGTGCAGTGGCTCGCGGGGGATCTCGCGTGCCGGACGCTGATGTTTCTCAAACTCGTGGCCATGTACTCGTGCGCTTTCGTGACCGTGGTGATTAGTTTGGACCGACAGGCTGCCATTCTCAAACCTCTGTCTATCAACAAAGCGAAGAGGAGAAATAAAGTTATGCTGAGTGTAGCGTGGACCACGAGTGTCGTGTTATCCATACCACAGGTGAGTGACGTGTACGGGGGATACATTTTAAGACAGGGTAAGAAGTAAGATTATTTTTTCCCCCTCTTTATTTATATTTATACAAATATATAAAAAAAATAATTAAAATTTAAATATATACAGTGCTACCATTCAAAGGTTTGGGGTCTATATTTTTGTGTGTAAATAATGTAACTTTTATTCAGCAAGAAAGCATTTAATTGATCAAAAAGGACAGTAAAGAAATGTATAATTTTACAAAATATTTATATCAAATTGATGCTGTTCTGGCTTCCGGTAATGGCTGCGGACTGATCAGTCGCGTTTTCAACTCTCCCGTTCCAAGTTCCTGTTGTTCTTTATCTACCTTCACCCATCTTTCTCAAAGTCACTATTTAGTTGCTTTATTGCTTCTTTATCATGCCCAAGCCGTCAAAACAGAACAAGCCGGACCATTCCCGAGGTTTTACGGAGGAATGTACTGACTCGAGCGAGGCTAGTGCTAGCAGTAGCCATGCGGTTAGCAATGAGAGCTCGTTACCTGATTTATCACATGGGGCTTTGTTGAAACACATTGCCGAAGTCGTTGCAGAAGAAGGGCGGCACACGCAAAAGATGCTGAATGACTCTTTTGTTAAGCTGGAGTCGGGGCTGGACGTGAAAGTTGATTGCATCATCAAACGCATCGATGAGGTTGCTGCAGCCACCGACTCCCTTGCGACGCGCCAGGATGAAGCAGAAACTCGTATCTCCGTCCTGGAAGATGACATTGCTCCACTTAAAGGGAAATTGGCCGCACTTGAGAATCTTAACTCGGCACTTACGGAGAAGGTTACGGATCTAGAGGGGCGTTCCAGGCGGGACAATATCAGAATCCTTAACCTCAAGGAATCCGTCGAAGGAAGTGACCCCATACTTTTCTTTGAAACTTTCATTCCAAAGCTGCTTGAGTTGTCAGTCCCGAATATCGCAATTGACCGCGCACACCGAGGGCTCGGTACTCCTTCGGATGGTCGGCCTCGCCCTGTTATTATCAAGATCCATCGTTCTAGAGACGTTGCTACAATTCTGACCGCTGCTAGACGCAAAGGTCAGCTTCAATACGAGGATCAACCTCTCCGTATCGCTCCTGACATTTCGCCTACAGTTCGTGCCGCGAGGAGAGCCTTCAATCCGATCTGCGCTGAGCTTATTAAGAAAGGCATCCGCTTCCAAATGAACTTCCCAGCCGTGTTGGTCTTCAAAGCAAACGGCACGCAGAAAACTTTCAGAGACCCGAAAGACGCCAAAGCCTTTATGGACGGTAATTTGTGAACTCTTTCGGCTTTTCGTTTTACCTGTAACGTTAATGACCCATGCAACGGTTATGTTTATTCTATGATGGGTGTTTGCCAAGGAATGGGAGAGTTTTCACATGTGTATACCGTTATTATCGTGAAGTTTTTGATTTAAGCTGGGATATTGAACAGGTGCATATCTTTTTTCTGTACCTTTAATAATTAATAGATCCTAGTTTTCCATTTGTTTCACAGGAGTTATAGACATGGGTGCGGCCAATCTTCTCCTTGTTCTGTTTTTGTTTTTGTTTTGTTCTAATGTTATGTTTTCAAGCCTGAACCAGAGAAGTTCCTATTTCCTCCCCATCTTTTTCCCCTATGGAAAGTTTGTTTTTCTTGTTTACTGCATAGTTTACCTGGCTATTACTTTTTAAATGATTGATGGTGCCAAGTTGAATATTCTCAGCCTCAACGCAAGGGGCCTGAATAACCCAGTGAAACGAGTTGCTGTTTTGGACTTTTTGCGGAAACAAAGAATTAATATAGCCTTCCTACAAGAGACTCATCTGTTAAAAAGGGATACAAATCGCATGTCTAATCGCCTTTTCCGGGTAATTGCTTGCTCGTCAGCTTTAAACAAATCGAAAGGGGTTGCAATCATATGTCAGCGTAATTTGCGATTTAAGTTGTTGGATACGTGGGCAGATCGCAATGGCAGAATAGCAGTTGCGAAAGTTCATATAGAAAATAGAGATGTTGCCTTCATCTCAATTTATGCCCCTAATACTTTTGAAAAAGAATTTTATGTACAGCTCACTAAGGTACTGCTGGAGCTCTCTGACTTCAAACTCGTAATAGGTGCTGATTTTAATGCTGTTGTTGACTATTCAGTTGATAGATCGGGACACTCCGAAAATGTAGATCAAAAATATGCTTCTGAGGCTTTACGTTCCTGGATTAATGATACTGGAGTGGTGGATCTCTGGCGTGTATTTAATCCTGGTGTTAAAGGCTTCACCCATCTTTCATCAAGACATAAATCTTCCTCTCGAATTGACTTTATTTTTTCTTCTAGAGACTTGTTTTATAATATTGTTACTGTTAACTTATTACCAGTGGCTTTTTCTGACCATAATGCAGTGATTGCTTCTGTGGTGTTAAATTCAAATCCAGCTCGGGCCCCTAGATGGCGTTTTAACGCCTCGCTACTCCGAGATGAAGCATTTAAAACCAAGTTTTCAAGTCAACTATCAGATTTTGTAAATATAAATATAGGCTCTGTGGATGACCCAAGGACAGTCTGGGATGCTGTTAAAGGTTTTATTAGGAATTTTACTGTATGTTATGCCTCCAACATACGGAAAGTTCGTTCATCCAGATTACACAATTTAGAGTCTAAATTATCAGCATTAGATAGCCTATTACAACAAAGTTATGATGAGGAGGTTAGGCTTCAATTTGAACTTGTTAAAAAAGAGATAAATGCTGTTATGAAACAGCGGGCCGAATTTTTAATTCATAGGACGCGACAGTTGTACTATTTTAATGGGGCTAGACCCAGCCGTTTATTAGCCCTTAGATTGCGGTCCAATGAACATTTTGCAGATATCGGCACAATTAAGTCCAAAAATGGTGATATTCTTAGTGAACCCTCTCAAGTCAATGCTACTTTCCGTAGCTTTTACGCTGATTTATATAGCTCTGAGATATCACATAATCAGGATACTTGTGACAATTTTCTAAACAAAACACTGCTCCCTAAGCTGTCTGAGGAAGACTCTCTAGAATTAAATACCCCCATTACTTTAGTTGAGCTTAAAGAGGCTGCTTTTGATATGTGTAGCGGTAAATCCCCTGGGTTGGATGGAATTCCACCAGAATTTTACACCACGTTCTGGGACAGTCTGGGCCCCCTACTCTTTTATATGATTCAAGCCGCTATTGAGAGAGGGTCCTTTTCCAGAGATGTGAATATTGCAGTCATTACGCTTTTGCTCAAAAAAGACAAGGACCCCAATGATTGTTCAAATTATAGGCCTCTGTCACTTCTAAATGCTGACTTGAAAATTTATGCTAAATTGCTCGCGCGGAGGCTCCAGCCGGCCATGACTAAGCTTGTTAACTGTGACCAGACAGGCTTTATTAGGACTAGATTAGCATCTGATAGTGTTAGGAGGTTACTCCATATAATACATGGGTCATCTTCGTTGACCCCTCCTACCGCGGTCCTTTCCCTAGATGCTATGAAAGCCTTTGATCGTCTGGAATGGCCATATTTGTGGTCTGTGTTGAAGCTCATGGCTTTGGGGTCCTCCTACATTCATATGATCAAGGTGCTGTATGCGAACCCCACAGCCATGGTTTTGACAGGAAAGACTTGTTCTTCACTGTTCAGCATAGCCAGAGGTTCTCGACAGGGATGCCCTCTAAGCCCGCTTCTTTTTGCACTCTCGCTAGAGCCACTGGCCCAGACAATACGCATAGATAAAGGTATCACCCCAATCACAATGTGTGGGACCAACCATCTTATTTCTTTGTATGCAGATGACATCCTTCTTTTTTTAGGCAATCCACTGCAGTCCATTCCTAACATTTTAACTATTTTTGGCAGTTTTAGCGAGATTTCCGGATATAGAATAAATTGGACAAAGTCGGCACTTCTTCCACTAAATGACGCAATGAGAAACTCAGCAATACCCGCGGGTATACCAGTGGTCAAACAATTTAAGTATTTGGGCATTATGATTGGTGCTTCATTGCAGTATATAACTAAGACCAACTATGAGGGCATCCTGTCTAAAATTTCTTGTAACTTGGATAATTGGTCATCGCTTCCAAATTCTCTTAGATCGCGCATCTCGATTATCAAAATGAATGTACTCCCTCGAATTAACTTTGTGAGTTCTATGCTGCCCTTGCCTCCCCCTTCTCGGTTTTGGGATAGGCTACAGAGCGTAATTACCAAATTTGTATGGAATGGCAAACGTCCACGTCTTAAACTTTCCACGATGCAACGAGATAGATTCGCGGGTGGACTTGCACTTCCGAATTTTAAGCTGTATCACTGGGCTTTTACACTACGTCCCCTGCTTAGCTGGTATAATGATAAAATGGATGTTTCTTGGCGGTCCTTGGAGGGAAATCTAGTTCTTCCTCTGAAGTTAGATGAAGTTTTATTTGCCAATATTCCTCTAAAAAAGTGTACGCTCCGTTTTGGTCCTTTAGTGTCCCATGCTCTTTCGGTTTGGAGAGCAGCAGAAAAAGCTTGTAATATCCGTTCTAATTGGAATCCCTACTCTCCTATCTTTAATAATGATGGTTTGCTAATTGGTAAGCGCCCAATAAAGATTGGCCAGTGTCGACAGTGGTTCGACAAAGGAATTCACTCATTGGGTGATTTAATGGGTGATAAAGGCCTTCACTCCTTTGAAGAGCTTTCCATTCAATTTAACCTTCAGAGCTCTACCTTTTTCTTTTACTTACAGTTGAGGGCAGCCATGAAGGCTTATGGGGTTCCTTGGCTGGCTCCTCTTAAAGATCACCCTTTACTTAAAGTGTTACTTGAGACTCGGGGTACAAGAGGTTTGGTTTCTAAATTATATAATTTTTTTCTGGAAAAAGTGCAGCATCCTCTGACAATAGACTCTGCATGGCGGGCAGATATTCCGGACCTTTCCCCCAGTTTTAATTGGGACAGTGTTTGGGTGATGGTAATGCATGCCTCAAGGAATCCGGATCATCAACAAATCCATTTTAATTTTATTCATAGGACTTATTTGACTCCACGTAAACTCTATAGTATGAAGCTTAAACCTGATCCTAATTGCACGCTGTGCCATACAGGGGAATTTGGTACTTTTTTTCACATGATTTGGGAATGCCCTGGGGTTGCTTACTTTTGGAATATGGTTAAAGAAAGTTTGTCCACTTTATTGAATGTTTCGGCCCCTTTGTCCCCATCTGTTTTTATTTTAGATGATTTATCTGATATCCAGCTTAACAAAACTCAGAAACGAGTCTTTTTAGCTGGTTTGACAGCCGCTAAGAAAATAGTAGCAACGAGATGGAAACCTCCACATTCTCTTAATAAGCAGTATTGGGTTCTCACATTTATAGATGTGGTGTATCTCGAATTGTCCACTGCACGCATTCATGGCGCAAGAGAGGACACCATTAGACTCTGGGCCCAAACATTGGAAAAACTCAAGGGTTTACTGAGTTGAATTAATACCCCCCTCCCTCTCTCTCTGGTTTTATGGTAATTTTATCTTATTTTATTGTTCTTGTTCATCTGGTTGGTTTATTTTTTCCTTATTATTAATCATATATTCCAACTGTCGTAGATTTCTCTCAGCTCTATGCTACTGTGGGGTTTTTTTTTATTTTTATTTTTATTTTATTTTTTATTCTAATAATCTGTAGTACTTATATATATTTGTGTATATCTTGAAGTATATTCTGTATGTTTATTTATTCATTATATATAATTTTTCTGTATCTTTGTTATCCCACTTATATAGTGCCCTATATATATTTATTTAAAATTTGTATTATCTTAATTATTGATTTATTCATTTTTTTTTTATTTATTATTATTTGTATCTCTTTTTCTTTTTCTCATACTGGGGTAATTGCTGATTGTTTGTCTTCGTCATTATATGTCATGTTTAAACAATAAAAATTTGATAACAAAAAAAAAAATTGATGCTGTTCTTTCTGTTAACTTTTTATTTATCAAAGGTTCCTGAAAAAAGTATTGCGGGTTCCACAAAAAAATATTAAGCAGCACAACTGTTTACAACATTGACGATACTAAATGTTTCTTGAGAGGTAAATCAGCATATTAGAATGATTTCTGAAGGATCATGTGACACTGAAGACTGGAGTAATGATGCTGAAAATTCAGCTTTTCCATCACAGGAATAAATTACATTTTAAAATATATTAAATTAGGAAACAGTTATTTCAAATAGAAACAAGAGGCTTATTTCAAAAACATTTCAAAAATCTTACCAATACCAAATATTGAATGGTAATATATATATATATATATATATATATATATAACTATTCTCATATTTCAAAACAAAAAGTAAGCTTGCAACAGAATATCTGTAATGTCTATGCCTGTGATATCATCTTTGTGCAGGTGTTCGTTTTCCATGTTGTGGTGATTGATTCCCCTAAGCGGTTTATCCAGTGTACGACGTACGGCAGCTTTAGCTCACGCTGGCAGGAGACACTTTACAACATGCTTACCTTCACCTTCCTCTTCCTCTTACCACTCTTCATCATGATCTCATGCTACACCAGGATACTGTTTGAGATCTCCAAGAAAATGACTGAAGACAGCTGTAAGTTTTTTTTAAAAAGGAAGCTCCATTATTGAATCAACAGTAGAGCTTCTTGATCAGTTTGCATGTGACATTACCCTGAGGCGTCTTTGCTTTAACTGTCAAGCTAACGTCTTGCTTTTGTTGTGATCTATGTCACATCCAGTGCTGTCCAACAAAGTGCAGCTGCGCAGGTCAAAAAACAACATCCCTAAGGCACGCATGCGCACACTGAAGATGACTGTGGTCATCGTCCTGTCATTCATGGTGTGTTGGACACCCTACTACATGCTTGGCCTATGGTACTGGTTCTGTCCCGCTGGCCTGGAGGAAACAGTGTCCCAGTCCCTCTCGCACATCCTTTTTATCTTTGGCCTATTAAATGCTTGTTTGGACCCCCTCATCTACGGTCTCTTCACCATTCCACTGTGTAGAGGCATGAGGCACCGACAGCGTGGACATAACGTTGTAGCTTTTGAGCTGGAGAACACTAATAACTCTTTGATGACTTCCATCAGAACTTCCACCTCCTCTCTCACTTTAAAGAGACTGACAGTTCAGCAGACTTCTAGAGAAAAGCTAGAATGGGATGGAGAGTATGTGCACAGGATTGGAGATGATGGGCCAAAGAATAGTGTCGCTTTTGCAAATTATTCCACCTGTAGAGATTAAAGGCCAAAACACGAGTTGTCTATATGTACAATAGCTTTGCATTTAATTACCATTAAAGCGTTATGGCTTCCAAATGATTAAAAAAATGTGTTAATTACTGTAATTAGTACATTAATGCTAGCTAATGAAGTTAAATTGATCAAAAGTGACAAAGACTTTTACATTGTTGCAAAAAAAATCTATTTTGAATAAATGCTTGTTCTTTTATATTTATCAAAGACTCATGAAAATGTGTATCAGGGTTTCTACAGAAAAATTAAGTAACACAACTTTTTTTTCAACATTGATAATAATAAATGTTTCTTGAGCAGCAAATACGCATATTAGAATGATTTCCGAAGGATCATGTGACACTGAAGACTGGAGTAATGATGCTGAAAATTCAGCTTTGTCGTCACAGGAATCAATTATATTTTTATATAGAAAACAGTTATTTTAAATTGGAAAAATATTTCACAATATTACTGTTTTTATTGTAATCATGATCACATAAATACAGCTTTGGTGAGCAAAGAGTCTTCTTTGAAAAAAAAAATACTGTATCATCTACTTGTATATTTTTGGGGGTTCTCAAAGCCCTCTTTTTCACACTGTCCTTTGAAAGGCTCTTCATGCATTTTGTGAACTAAGGCTTTACAGATATTTTAACACACATCACATGCTTTTTTTTCTGGCAGCCGAAAAAGAGCATAGATCTGTTTTATGTATGCAGTGAAATTAAAATTATAACTATAAGGGTTGATGTTGAGTATTCAGTGTTTTGTCATGTGGTCTAAAAGTTGAAATCACAATAAAATTAATTGGAAATCAATGGCTTGAGGTGTTTTGCACAGATCATTAAATGAATGCAACTCGATGTGGTTATGGGTTCAGACTCAGATCATGTTAAGTTCCATAACCTCATAAAACCATGTTACAGCCTGTCAACTGCCCACGGCCAGTCCAATTAAAGATGAACAAGTGAAATGTGACACAAAATTCTGAATAAACAAAATTACATGAATAACTTTTTCAATTAGTGGTTTTTAATAAGCCAGAGGGGGAAAAAATTTAGCTACACTGATTAATATTGAGGCTCAAGTTCAATTAAATTGATGTTCAGTACAAATGGCACTAATTGTGAAAAGATTTGCTTGCCGGAAAAGACTTAAGTGGAGCAAAGCTGAAAACCAGTGCCTATGGCCTGTCATATGAAATGAATAAGAACAATACAACCAGGAAATTGGTGTTGACATTCAGTATAATAATGCGTGGGAGATATCATTAGCTCTGATGCTATGCACAATTTCTTCAGAACAGGCCATGAGATTGTGCAGAACAGTCAGTTTGCTATGGACTCTGAATCTGTGCACTGCCCAGCCAACAAATATACTAAATTTGATTTACTTGACCTTTTGTTAAGTAGACAACTAAATGTTGGAATCAAGTCAGAATAAACGTAATCAAATGCACAGATTACTCAAGCATATATAAACACATATATATTAAGGCATGTGCAGATATAAACACATTTGCCTGATGTAGCAGAGCTTCTTGTGAGAACTGACATGTAGCCTACCCTCCTCACAACCCCAACCTGAAATGAACTTTCATTACAGAAGTTTGTCAGATTAACTGAATTCGAAGTTTAAAATTTATTTTGATGGCATCAACATCACCAAAGATGAATGAATGAATGCATGGATGTATTTGATCCACATAAATACATAAGAAAATGCACTCTTTGTCTTTCAGCATGTGGTGTCTGGTTCTCTTCTTATTGTGTGACGTTTCATTTAATAGCACGCTTCAGAAACTGCTCCCACTGGAAAGCCATATTTCTGTTCCTCTCTTTCCAAGAGTCAGCTCTACACACACAAATACATTACACATATACAGTATATTCTGTATTTTAGGTTAGAGGCCAAAGTTATTTTGATTAGAGATTACGAGACCACATGATTTTTTTTTTTAGATAAATCATTTACAATAAACACTGCAATATTCCATTAAAAAACATATAATAATTGTCCATTTTGATTTCATGGTGACTTTAAGGCCCATTCACACTAAGAATGATTACTATGAACATCAAGTAAAAAAAAAAAAAAAACGTTCTAAATCTAAAGGAATAGCAGAGTCCATACCACAACTGTAACAATAACTACACAGAGGAACGATATTGTAGGAATCACTTTTTTTAGCTGATAAATGATTTAAAAAAAAACATTGACAGCCAAAATTCCTATTTTAAAGCACATGCTGCAGATATGACCATAAGTGAAGCACGCCATAGATGCTAATATAATTATCATTATAATTCTTGCTCTTGGTTTGTTGTCTTGTCTTGTATTTGCATGATCTGTTACTATACCTTAGTAGTAATTTTGTATAATAATTTTACATTTGATGAACAGAGTGCCGTGCAGTCTCACATTGGGTTTCATCCACTAACAATAGTGTTCTTACCTTCATGTGGTGAAAAGGTTCTAAGAGAACATTTCTTTCAGTTGCGTACACATAAATATGTTCTTAGATCAATTATGTAATACTGAACAACAGTTCACAAACCTTTCCTGAAAGTAAAGGTTGCAGGCCTCCTCCAAACCTGAAAGTGTGGCTCTGGTCTCTTTTCCAGTTACGTCTGGCCTTGTGACACGGTGCAGATCCATCAATGAACATTCTGAAAAGCTGAAGCTGAAGAGAGAGCTCTCATCCTCTCCCCTTTCGGTCACCTTCACTAAAGGTGTTTTTCTGTTACCTAAAAAACACAAATCAGGTGCTGTGTCACCAGGAACACAATCCTGTAATTGACACTGAATAAATAACAATATGTGACACCTTCGACACATTGCATCACAACTTAAACAGTATAAGACGGCATTCACACAGAACACGTTTTTGTGTTGAAACGTGAGATGCAGGACAACGGAATAAAAAAAGGTCTGGTCAAAAGGTCAAGAGACGCAGGGTTTTTTTATGTTATGGATAATCCACGGCTAGCTGTGCATTAAGTAAGGAGTAATTGACGATGGGCCGTTGAATTATTAGAAACATAATGCACACGTTAATAATTCAACGGCCCGGAGTCAATTCACGAGTTCACACTTACATACAATTAGAGTGGATAAGGTTTAATGCGTATTTGGCGTGGTGTCTAGGGGGAGGGCTCCGAGCTCGGAGTTTGGCCCGAACCCAGAGTACCCCCCCTATGTAAGTGTTTAGGACTGGAAGTGTGGAGAAGGGGCGGAGGAGGGATGCTGCTAAACTATCAATGGAGTGGGGTGAGATTGCTGAATCTATATACCTCTTATCATTGATTGCTGAGTGCACTCCACTCGTGTTAATTAACTGAACGTGCTCCTCCCGAACTTTGTAAATAAAACATAATTTATTCCACTTATCATATGGTTACCAGACCTCAAAACATTGTTCAGATGATGTACTTCAAGACATTTGTCAGGTTTTTGTTCTTAAAATGCTCTTGTGTGCAGGACTAATTTCTTACGCATCTAATCCCAAGCCTCTGTTGCTAATTTCAAAACGTCATTTTAGAGCTACAACGGAGGCTTGAGCCATTGATAGCAGCAGTCTAATGCAGTTAGAGAGAGAGAGAGAGAGAGAGAGAGAGAGAGAGAGAGAGAGAAAGAGACTTTTGAAAAGTTTTGTTTAAACTTCTTTTTTTAAACGTGACCTTTGCATTTTTAGAATGCTGTCATACACTGCAAAAGACCCAAGACACAAGTAACACAGTCAAACACGTTCGTCAATTTACATAGAAAAACAATGGAAAAGCAGTGCAGTGGAATGCCAGTGTCAATCAAATAATTTTCAGTTTACCTGTAATATACAGATTTTGTTGGACTGGCTCGAGCACATACACAGGTTCTCTGAGTGAGCCCAGCACATGAGTGTGAGGCAGGTTTAAGACGAACATTGGTGTGCCATCCTCCATTTCCCTTATAGATACTTGCCCATTTCTCTGCATCAACAAAACCTGTAAACAACTTCAGGAATTACAATATAGTCACTTTACAGAGCAATTTTTTTTTTTTAAACAAGCAATCTGAAATCATTTAATCCAGAATCTAACATGTGTAGATAGCATTATGGTGTGGACTTCCCTATTCTCATAAAATTAGAGTGATAACTTTAGATAACGTTATCGTTATCGTCATTGGCGTGAACGAGCCTTAACACAGAATTATGCTGCTGCTAAGTTTTGTACTTTACCAGACACTTCAGGAAGAGCACAGGTACAGCAACAGAGACAGAACTGCTTGGGTCTGCGGGTCTGATGGGAGATAGTCATTGTATTTATTTATACACCACGTTCAGTATTTCTAAACCCTTTATAATAACTGTGGGTGTTTAGTACCTCTCCATAAGTGGAACAGTGCATGTGTCTCCTCCTTTGCTCGCTATCACACTGTAGCACTCTCCACTTCTGCAGGTGAGCACTAACTGGAGTGTGGTTAAAACTGGACCCTGAGTGACCGGTAGTTGACTCTGCAAAAGGAGCTTCATCCTGCAAATGGGGCTGTCTCCTGGGATCACAATATTGGCATATGGACACCCTGCACCACCAGAAGACAATCAGGGGTAAGATTATTTATGTCAGTATGATATCAGTCTCGTGCAATTATATCATTTTATCATTGAGGACCACATAGTTGCTATCATAAACAATATCTGAAATGACTAGACACTGAAGGAAACTTACCAAATCGTCTGTCCCATATAGTAACCAGCTGACCATCAAGCCCTAGAACAATGAACCGTGTGCAGGCACTGACGGCAGAGCAAAGGATTTCCTGAGAATTGGGCCACAAAACATCCGGTCTGGGTTCACTGTCTGATTCAGGAACAGATTCAAACATCATTTATAAACATGAACAAATGTGTTCATGTAATATGAATATACTGTATTTTCTTTCTAATCCATGCATTATGAATGTATGAGTTAGAGGCTGGAGTACCTTTCTCTTTCTTCAACAGATGATACTGTAAGAGATTATGACTGCCACTCCACCACAGGCACATGGAAATGGGAATATCTTCAAAGATAATCCGAAGAAATATCATAAATGCTCATTCTGAGAGAAGGCTTATATCTATTACTGAAAAACGTACACGTGAAATAATCTCTTGAGTCCATAACTCACCTCTAGCTGCCTTCTTTTCCCCAGGCATTGAATAAAACCCCTCACGCAGTAAGAAGTGACAAGCGCAGTTGCTTTAATGAAAAAAGACTGACAAACTGTAACAAATTTTGTAATGTGAAAAATAACCTTGACAACTTTCATAATCTCTAGCGGTTCTAAAGTGACTCACCACACAGTTTGCCAAATGTTTCTCATTTCACATGTGGTCAGTACTGTCCTTTCCTATATGCAACTTTTTAACTTATTCCTTCGTTTTACTTTAATCTTGGCCACAAATTAACTAACTTAAAATGAGTGAATGAATTAGTACAACGTGGCCATGATGATATACCTAAAAAAAGGGAATAAATGATGACACTTTAGAACTAGGAACTACTAATTATTTGGATCAGTATTCTAAAGAGCATGATAACTCTCTAGGATTGACTGAAGACATTGTAAGCTTTTGAGGTTTCTGTACGTTTTTGAAAGGTTTCGGATAGTAATTCCTCCCGATGGATTTGAGTTATTTCTAGTGGGTTACCATGATATTCACTCTAGAATACTGATCCTTCTGACGGATGAAGTAACACTTGAGTCATTACCATCCAAAACCTTACAAAAACATTAAAAGCTTACAATGACTTCAGTCATTATTAGGGAGTTATCATGCTTTTCGCTTTAGAATACTGATCCAAATAATTAGCAATTCCTACCTTGATTTGGTAATACTTGAGTCATTACCAGTGGGTTACCATGATCTTCACTTTAGAATTAATGATACATTATGCATTATTCACATTAATTATGAACCTTTATATAGTAATTCTTAGTAATCCTCTAGGTCTAGGAGGTATGAAAAAATAGTAGTTATTGATTATCTAATAGTGAACTACCACACTCAACTGAACTCTTCTAATTTGTTAATCAGAGTTTCTTGTTCGTTAATAGTAGTAACTAGAGTGTTAATAGCGTGTTACTCATTTGTTCCTGTGTAGTTATTTAATGATAGAATAGTATTCTAAAGTGTTACTGAATAAATTAATCAAACATGTCCACGATTTAACTAAAACAATGGAATAAATTAATCAAACATTTCCACAATTTAACTAAAACAAGGGAATGAATTAATAAAAATTAGGCCACAAATTAATAAGTTGTGGGAACGAATTCTTAATATGTAGCTGCGATATCAATTTTATTTTTCATGTGCGGGGCTCCGCACTGATTTGTTGTTTACACATGAGTGCAGCAATAAGGAATTTATCTTCAGCTTTGTCTGTCTTTTTGACAAACATTTTGTTGATTTGCAAGTTGTACAGTAGGTACTAGGTCAAGAAAATATGATCATATAACACCAATTTGATCATCTCTACACTGGTTACCTATTAAGTTTCGTATCAATTACAAAGTATTACTACTGACCTATAAAGCCCTAAATGGTTTAGCTCCTGTGTATTTAATGGACCTTCTATCGCCCTACAATCCATCGCGTTCTTTAAGATCACTAAATTCTAGGCTTCTGATCATTCCTAGGATATCTAAGTCCACTAAAGGAGGGAGGGCGTTCTCACATTTAGCTCCTAAACTCTGGAATAGCCTTCCTGATATTGTTCGAGGCTCAGACTCGCTGCCCTAGTTTAAAACTAGATTAAAGACGCATCTCTTTAGCCAAGCATTCACATACTGCTTACCTTTTATACCACTGTTTAATCAGATCGAATGCATTAATATTATGAATATTAATGTTATCATTAATATTATGAGCTATGCTAATTATTTCCCATCTGCTTTTCTGCTGTTATCTCGGGACGCTAGTCCCGAGGTAAATAGCGTTCGTCAGCTCCGGTTTGTATCCAGCCTCTCACGGAGACTTCAGATGCCCCAACACCTGCGATGGCTAAACGCCTGTGAAATTTCTCGAGTAAAATATTTTGGATGAAAGTGTGTGTTTGTTTGTGCTGCTATATACATATAAGTGTGACTAAAGTGTCAAAATACAGTACTTTTTGGGGTGACTATATATCTTCTCAATCAAGTAAAATGTGGCTTCAAAAACTCTTTAATCAAGCCTACCTGGGACCTTCTGCTTTCTGCTGTGGTGGTCTCATAGAGCTGGAGCTGAGATACTTCATGAACATTTTCCTAAATGCCGCATCCTGGTTTTCCCACTGTTGACTACTAATGAGGTGATTTTGGCCTGAGCCTATTATAGTGCCTTCCTCTGTCTTCTGCAGGACCTCAGATGGACTTTTTAGAGAGGTTCCTTAAAGGCATGAACACTTCGTGAAAGAAATACATAACAGACCTCTAAAAGAAACATATTTGCAGCAATACTTTAAACCGGATACCTGCAGGGATTTCTGGTGGTTTGATTTTCATGAGTAAGACTATTGGAGACCATTTGGCTTCTGTGGCCAAAGAAGATTGCGTAGCCTACAGAAGAGACAGGGCAGAAAATGATCAGCTCATTGGAGAAATTTTGCAAAAACTGCCAGAAAAAAAGTAAACTTATACATAGGACAAAAAAACTATATATTTTATTCTGAAATAAATGCATAACAGTTGTTCCTCCAAGGAAATGTTGTTGTGCATTTTGAATTGACATCAACAAATGACCAACAAATTTCGTTTTTGAAATGTAAATACAGTAAACAAGAATAGATGGTTTTCCAGGTAACTTTCCAATGACTATAACAGTTACCTGTTTTGCTTCCAGCTCTTTGAGCCACACATCCTGTGGGAAGCGATAGACATCCAACCAAACAGAACCACTGGCTTCAATGACATTGACAATATATAACAATGGCATTAATAAGTCACTGGTTTCAGTTTTATATTATATACCCATATATTTCAATTCAAAACTTACACATCATGACTGCAGCTCCAAAGTCCCCTCTTATAGACATTTCAAATTTTGCACAGATGTTTCTTTGGTTTATATCTTCCTGTGAGAAATATAACACAATGTACTTTTAAAGCCTTTTAAAACCAGCAGCAAACATACAAACAAGCTCGTAAAACACTATTATGAACTCACAGTTTCATTGATGATTTTTATTAAATAAATATTCTCCGTGTGATGCACAAAAAGCCGCGCAATACCTTATGAGACAGAGAACAATTATGTATAAATAAATACAGAAAATATAAAGTGAAGAGGTTTAAATGGAAATTGTCTAAAAATATTTCCCACTCTCAGGAAATTACCCATGTCATCCACTGTGCATAAGAGGTGTGTGAGGTTTCCCAGAGAAGCACAAGAGATGCTGGTAAGCTCCACTCTTTCATTCTTCCACGTTCTTACACATGTGAGAGTGGATGAACTGATGACTGACAGACCATGAGCATGACCCAGAAACAGGTAAAGTCCATCCTCAGAGCACACAATACAATTAGTTCTGGCTGGAAGCTAAGAACCAAAAAAAAAAAAAAGGTGTGTAAGATGAGCATTTTGGACAAATCCACCCAAAGCATATGTGCAAAGGAATATGATGGGGCTGTATAAAGGTAATGTACATGTAAAACAGTAGTACCTTCATTTCTTTAGTAGCATTCAGCACAGGAATTTGTCTTGCTGCTTGTGCATCCTTGTCGATCCTCTCCTGCTCTGATATAACTTCCCATGCACTGTCAACAAGGTTATTTAACAGCTTATCGATCATTCTTGCAGGCTCAGGCCGATTTTTATCAGGCTGATGCAGATCTGTGAAATAAGTCACAGCATCATCCTCATCTTCACAGCTGCTGTAGTCTGATGGCTCTGGGATCTCCAAACCTGGTGTAACATTCACAGCCATGCTGTGCTATTTCTGGAGTAAAAAAATGTTTTTTAAAACTGAAATCCCCCTTTGTCATTACATTGATTTATACACACACATTGTTGAATCACATTTACACATAACATACCAAAAAAAAAAAAGTATCAGTCATATAAAATGGACACAGAAAAACATTCAAACAGTGAGTAATATCTTCAGGAGAAAAAAAAAACCTTAAAGTACCATGGTGTTTTTTTTTTACATGGCGCTACTGTATTATTATGTTTTTGGCCATGTAAGTTAACGTAACGTTACCATAATAATACTTAATAATATAACATAATAATAATAATGACCAGGAGTACCAAGTAAACAAGAAGTATATAAATACGATAATCAGACAGTACCATGGTGTACCAACAGGTTATATACCATGGCACCTCAATAATAGTATATTACTACTGCAAAAGTAAATTACCAAGACAATAATTCGAAAGAAGAACTAGCTAGAACTAGCAGTGTAACGTTATATCTATGGCAGCAAGAAACGTACAGTTGCTTGCTAGTTTGCTATTTCACATAGTGTTTGTCGGACCTCTTGATCAGACCTCCATAAAAAAGGCAATAAAAAGTTTGATTTGGGTGGTCAACATGATACTTTTGTGAATACTCAATGTATAATCACACTGTAACACAACAATGATCTGAATGAATAATAATATATTAACATAACCGCTCACCGCTGACGCGCTTGTGGAGTTCTTCCGGATTGTTAGGTTGTTATGACAACTCTGTGGTTGCTCTGAGTGGGGCGGCGCATGCGGACTTCTCCAGTGTGTGTGTGTGTGTGTGTGTGTGTGTTTATGATAGAGACTGACTCAGATGATCTAATAATAAAAAATACTCTTATGCCTAGCATTATACATAAAAAAGTTACATTTTACATTAAATTGCATATATTCATGTCAATTAATACGTCAATAATTTATGTATAACACATAAACATAGCATTCTTTTTTTAAAGAGATTTCTCACAGATCAGTATAGGCCTGGAAAACCATTATTTTAAATGTTAATAATATTTCACTATATATTATTTTTCTGTATTTTTTATCAAATAAATCCAGGCTTGATTAGCATAAGAGACTTCTTTCAAAAACATTAAAAATAGTAATGTGTCCAAACTTATGTACTGTTAAAAACATTTAAAATTAAATGTTGTATAAATTAAAAGGTTAGGAATCATATTTGTTTCAAGAGTTTTTTATTGGGGGTGGGGGGCCTCCAACATGAATATTGCCTAGGGCCTCCAAATGTCTAGAACCGGCCCTGCCTATAACCATTTATTTTAAAAAAATTCCAGTGAGTGGGAGGTTTGGACATCACATTTTATTTATTGAACAATATACCCAGTTCTGTGTAAATATAGTGCTCAGTCAGTGAAAAATATTTAATACCAAATATATTTTAGCGTTTTCTATGAAAGGTTAAGACTCGAAAGTACTGTATAAACCTTCATTTGCAGTCATCATAAATCATGATGAGATTTTGAAGCGCATGAACACATTAACGCTGTGAACAATCCACAGAGCCCTGTTTCCTCTCAGCAATCTTCACTCTGTGTCTGGGTGATGTCTGGTCTAGAACAACGGGGTCTAACCAACACCTTTTCTTTAAACTGGCCTTCTGAATAAATTTCGCTGAACTGTAAAAATCAGGTGAATAAGCTGGAGTATGTGCATCAAGCAACTCCAGGGGGAAAGTGCAATGGAGTACGAGGCCACTGATGTCAACAATTAATGTCACACTGAAGTGAAAAACATCTATTAGAACTCAAGTATTGAGCTTTGATCACAGCTGATACCATCATTTCTTTGCTGAAAACCCCCTCATAAATAGAGCCTATTATTGAGTTTTTTATATATATATAACAAAATAATATATGGGTTATACACTCAGAAAAATGAAAATATAAATAGATAATTGTAAAATATAGAGGGCTATCACATAAAATCACTTTTTTTGTAAACAAAGCAAAATAGAGTGCATCAATATACTACTAAAATAAGTTATTCACAGATCAGTAGGTTATTTACATATACTGCAATGTTACACGAGCAGTAGCAAAACAAAAATACTTCATGTTCCATCAGCTTCGGCCACTGCCATTTCAGTAGAACTTCATTCAATCAATGTTCATCTTCGCGCTAATCTCCATCAGCTTCATAAAAGGAGTGTAGATCTGTGACGGGCTGGTTCTCGCTCGAGGGCTGGTGGCAGAGGACAGTTCTGAGGCCGGTGGAGATTCTGACTTCCCGTCTTCATTGCTTGTCTGACCATAACTTGAAGATAGAGTTGCAGTTTGTGTGGTACTGCTCGTTGTTTCTTGTGTATGTACTACACTGGACCGCAGCATTGTGCTGTACTGGCCAGGGGTGTATTTTAGTAGACTATAGCTCAGTCTGCTAGAGGATCTTGGGCTCGGTGAGACAGGGCTGGTTTGGAAAGGAGCGACGTACAGCGGCTCCTCAGATCTATGAGAACAGGGACAGCATGTGTGTGAAGGCGTGGCCTCGAAAGCAGTTTTAAATTTCTTATGGCAAGGTGATCTTGTGCTCATTACCTAACGGGCAGGTCACAGCCAACTCCAACATCCCTGGTGACTACTTTAGTCTCAGATGCTCTCTGTACAGACATAAAATACTTCAACTTGTCTTCTAACTCATTATTCTAGGAAGCAAAGCAAAGGACAGAGTCAGATCAGAGGCAATGGGAAATTGAGTAGAGAATTGATTTCACAGATATATAAAGATGACACTGGACAAAGACCGATTCAAATAAGATGTATGAGAAATTTGAATAACAACCAAAGGGACTCAAACAGCTGACAGAATAGTGATGGATTCTGGAATAATCACATTCAGCATGCTAATTCCAACCAATCTGTGCTTTCCAGATTGGTAAAGGCGAGGGACAAGCAGAAATCACATTTTGCTACATGGAAAACGTTGCTCTTACCTCACACTCCACAATGGCAATCCTGTCTAGCAGCTCAGCGATGAACATATCCTTCTGTGCAACTTTTGCTCTCAAGGTTTCAACCTGCAAAATTGTTTGCTTGTTTGTTTTATAATTAAAACAATAAGGGTGTCATGATTTTTGGTTTTGGTTCATTTTGTGTACATGGAATAGCCTTTATTAACAGAAGAAACAGTCTCTGTAAATCCTTACCTCCTCTATCATGGCCTTGACCTTCCTCTGTTGAGAGAACACCATGTCATTGAGGTGCTTTATTCTCTCTCGCAGTTCTGCTGCTTCCCCTTTCAGCTGCTCGGACCTGGGAGGAAACATGCGGCTAATGAGAGATATAGTATAATACATGCAATAAAATACTGAAATAAAATTATACCATCAGAATCATTAGTAGCATTTTTTTTCTCTCTGAGAGGGCAAAATTAAGACATTTTTAGACTAAATAAAAAATAACTAATTAATCGCACAGGTTTCTATAATTAATCGCAATTAACATAATTAACATAAAAGTAACATACACATTTGTAATCATTAATATATTTTCACACGGAATCTCCAAATTAATGTAGAAACAACAAAGACAGTATTTAAAATATTTGTTTCATGTCATCTTTTCACTATCTACTATGAATGAAAGCAAGTGTCAGTGATACCAATACTGATAGTTTTTATTTTATTTATGGAGATAAACTAAATAATTATAGCCACATAATAACTTAATAACAGTATAATTTAAGGCCAGGCCTAAACTGCAAATTATCAGAATGCTTTTATTTATCGCTTATTAAAGGGTTAGTTCACCCAAAAATGAAAATTATGTCATTAATGACTCACCCTCATGTCGTTCCAAGCCCGTAAGACCTCCGTTCATCTTCGGAACACAGTTTAAGATATTTTAGATTTAGTCTGAGAGTTTTCTGTCCCTCCATTAAAAATGTATGTACGGTATACTGTCCTTGTCCAGAAAGGAAATAAAGACATCATCAAAGTAGTCCATGTGACATCAGTGGGTTAGTTAGAATGTTTTGAAGCATCGAAAATACATTTTGGTCCAAAAATAACAAAAACTACGACTTTATTCAGCATTGTATTGTCTTCCGGTTCTGTTGTCAATCCGCGTTCATGAGTCCGCAGTGACGCTGCTGACGTAAGACGCTGCTGACGTGTTATCTGCAGTGTCCGTGTATTCAGGTTCAAATAAATATGGCTGGGCAAAAAAATCTTCCTCTGTGTCGAAATCCTTAGACATGTTTGCGAATATTGTTTTGTATACAGCGTGTGTCTCCCTCAGACTGTAAACGAAGCTCGGGCGCACCAGATAACACGTCAGCAGCGTCACTGAACACGGCTTGACAACAGAAGAGAAGAGAATATAATGCTGAATAAAGTCGTAGTGTTTGTTATTTTTGGACCAAAATGTATTTTCGATGCTTCAAAACATTCTAACTAACCCACTGATGTCACATTGACTACTTTGATGATGTCTTTATTTCCTTTCTGGCCAAGGACAGTATACCGTGTATACATTTTCAATGGAGGGACAGAAATCTCTCGGACTAAATCTAAAATATCTTAAACTGTGTTCAGAAGATGAACAGAGGTCTTACGGGCTTGGAACCACAAGAGGGTGAGTCATTAATGACATAATTTTCATTTTTGGGTGAACTAACCCTTTAACTATTTCAGAACATTAAAAATATTATAACAACTTTTAATTTAAGTAAACCTTAAATAATGGTCACATAAACCCATTATAATAAATATTTAGCTGTGCCTTTTATATAGCATCTCTGTCAGTAATCTATGCTGCATTAATTGCTTTAATTATTTGAAGCAAATATTAATTGCTGAAATTAATGTATTATTTTCCCAGGCCTACTTGAAATATAAGTATTATTATTAGAGTAATGGTATCTGGTTATTATAGATCTTAGGCCGTCCACTGAAACCATCTTGAATGAAGAAAACATGACATCACTGGACTCAGCAGCTGCAAACTCATTATAGGAATACATCAGATGTCTTACTGTTTGGGCGCAGCTTTGTCTACGTGGTCAATTTCGTCCAAACCACGTAAGCGTTGTTCACATTCAACAAGTCTTTTTATCAGGTCACCCTTCTCCTGTTAAAGAGAGAGAAGTGTTTTATAAATAGTTTTCTTCCGGGGTAACAGGCAAAGACTGAGTAATATGATATTATTTACCTGAGCCATACAGTTTAGTAGCCTTTCCACCTCTGTAATTCTTAGGTCCCTTTCAGCGATCTTTGCCTCAGCTATCTGAGCATTCCTCTCAGCCTCCTCAAGTCTCCTCATGTAGTCATCAAGCCGTGCCTGTGGAGAAACAGGTCTTTCATTATACACTCAGAACGACAGTCACTTATTTGCCTCTGTTCATCAGTCAGTTACCATCATCCGCTCTGAAAATCTTCACTATTAACACTAGGTGGCACCCTTACTTAGAAAAACAAATGGACATTTTTCTCTCCTCCCTGGTGAATATCTACAGATGTTTCCTGTTATGAAATTGGAATCATCATGCCCTGCTTGTAAAGTATAATACAAAAGTAATCTTTTACAATGCGTCTGTAGATATAACAAAGTCTTTAAAAAGTCACAAACAAATCCTTTTGTCGCATTATCATGCAGTGCAGTTCTTGCTGAACTAGTTGGATATTAAGGCATTGTGAGAGTCTGTTTGTTTGGTCATATCTGTACCTGCAAAGCCTCTATCTCCTCTCTGTACTTCCTCTGCTGTTCCTGCAGCTGTTCCTCATATTCCCTCTGTAGCTTAGCACTCAACTCTTTCAATGCTTGAGTCTTCGCCTCCTGAGAAGTCTCCACCTACACACAAAAAAGCAATTTAGTTGTCAAATAGCATGGACATTAACATGTAAAAAAGTGACATTAAACATTTAAAAAATATCAGATGTTCTTGTTTCCAATGAAGCACAAGAGATACTCTTTGGATAATCTCAAATCATGCTGTAGAACATTATCATCAGGTTTTACAAACATTTGTTGAGCCATTAAAGCAAAATGGACATTTTTTCATCTACCCTTTTCATTCCTCACAAATGATTATTCTTTTTTGTAACTTCTAATTTTTTAACTTTATTTTTATTTTGAACCTAATGCTGCATAAAATACAGTACAATTTTACTTTTTGAGATTCACTATCTGAGATTGAGATTTATAACAAATACATCATGCAGAAAATGAAAACATCCAAGTACAATGGATAATACAAAGACCCCACTGTATATATGCAACAGTGTATGTCTAAGAGTTTTAACTACTGTAAAAATGATTTTACATTATCTCATCAAAATAATTTAATCATTTACAACTTTCTTTATAAATTATATGAGAAATTTAGGCAGCAAGTGAGTTGAAATAGGTGGATTTTTTCACAGTCTACTATTATTCCATGTACAGAAGTCTCTCAATTAATATGAGGTTTTAAAAAAACAGTATATGCAATAATAAGAAAAATGAAAAACCTGAAAAATATTTTGAAGAGTTTTAGATAAAATATAGCACACTGCAAAACGCTGCCGTCACCGCTTCTCATGTCAACATTTCTCATAAATATTCCTGTTGTAAATTGGGCCCAAATTGCCATACTAGCCTATAGGTGTTCTCAATAATCGATGTAATGTTTCACTGACAAAAAAGAGGAAAAGTCCATGGTATAAGGATGTTCATACCATGGAAGGTCTGCTCGATAATAATAGCATTGTATGATAGCGGTTTGTGTGTGCTTGCAAGCACCTGATGTTTGAGAGAGTTGTTTTCAGCCTGTGCTGCTGCTAGTTGTCTCTCTGCTTCCTTGAGTTTCTCCTCTGTCTTCTCCAACGAGCTGCGCAGAGATCTCATCTCATCCCTGTTCCCCACACGGTTATGACAGCTTTCCAGCAATGATTTCTAAAACAGACATGATCAACATCACATCATATGGATGAATGCAAAGGTAGTTTCTAAAAGCATGCGTTTATGCTGCCAGAATTTTTTTTTTCTAATGTGACATTTAAATGTTGACCAGTCTAAGCAGGTTGACTACAAAAACAACATCTAGAGCTTTCTCTGAACAGACCTTTGTCAAATGGCAATGACTGTATTGATCGTGTACCTGCAGATCAATGTTTGCTGTTAAGAGGGAGCTGTTCATCTGGTCAAAGCTGTCCATAGCTGCACTTCTCGTCCTCACCTCAGACTCCAGGAAACGCTTATGAGAGTTTGCCGCCTAGTACAAACACAGTCAGCACATTGAGAACTTGTCGTACCACTACAAAATGTTTTTTTTTTTTAAGTCTGACACAGTAAGTCATTGAGGTAGTTAATAATCTTGGGTATAATTACACAGCTCTCTGGAAAACTGATTGGTTAATCGTGACATCGGGTAACTGAAATAAGGACCTACTTTCATGTCTCTCATATCACGACTCGATCTCTCTCAGTTCATACAAACGCAACTACCGCCATTTTCTGCTTCACTTAACTGGAATACTGAACGTGGCTGGAATACTCAACTTTTGAAATTGATTTTAAAACACTAGATATACACTTGCCGACTTTGTAAATGGTTACAGAGAATAACTGTTCATCATACACTTAAAGGGATAGTTCACCCAAAAATGAAAATTCTGTCATCATTTACTCACCCTCATGTTGTTCCAAACCTGTATGAGTTTCTTTCTTCTGCTGAACACAAAAGAATATATTTTAAATAGTGTTGGTAACCAGACACCCATTGACTTCCATAGTAGGAAAAAAAAAATACTATGGAAGTCAATGGGGCCCATCAACTGTTCGATTACCAACATTCTTTAAAAGATCTTATTTTGTGTTGTATACAGGTTTGGAACAACTTGAGGGTGAACTATCCCTTAAATGACTGAGGGTCACACACTACCAGACTTTTCAAGTCGTTCTGAAAACAAACTCATGCAGAAACGTGCACTTTGTTGCTAGGAGACACATGAAAAAATAAAAATAATATGTATTCTAAAATCTCAAAAATTAATCTTGTGCCCATCACACACTATGCAATTTTCTGTCAAATCTGACAAATGGAAGATTGACCCTGACTTCTGACAGCCAGCATCGATAAAAATCTATGCAAAGAGTCTAATCTAATTTATTCCAACCTTTACCGATTGTAGTAAAAAAGAACCTGGGAGGGGGTCAGTATTAATAATAATGTAATATTGTTGCAGTGTTTGTCTTATTGCTAGGCCGAATGTTTTGTACATTGAAAAGGACTAATTTTTTTAGAATTATATATATTTTTCTAATTATTATTATTATTACTACATAATAATGTATAATTATTTATTTTTGAAATTATAAAATAATTTAAACTCAAATATTGAATGCCCACAAATATTCATTTATTTGCAGAGTAGCTGTGTAATAATGTGCAGTCAGCCTGTCATTATAACATTATTACAGGGTGATCAGGGGTTTATTTTACTGGTACATTATAATCCTTTCCTTAAAACCTTGTCATGCAGCATTTCGCTCACCTTTAATTCCTGAGATAATTTTTGCACTGATTGTTGCATCCCTCCAAACTGGCCATACATTCGCTCTCGTACTTTCTCCAAAGAGTCACGTACCTTTGAGGACAGAATAAATACATTATCTGCTTGGATGTACATTCCTGAAGAATATCAAGTATCTGCTAATAACGAGTTAACCTTACAGTTAGTTAGGTCCCAAAAGAAAAGCCTCTGCACTCACCTCTCTGATGTACCTCATCTCATCCCTCAGGTGACTGGCAGACCAGTCTCGTGCCATCACTTCCTGTTGGTGGTTGGAGCCTGTGCTGTGCACCACACCATAAATTCTGGGCCCGTGCTGAGCGAGCTGTTCCCTACTGATGCCATTGGTCACAGGCTGCTGGGGGAACAGGACCACAGGGGTCAGATTTCACCTTGTGGATGTGTTTAAAAGGAGAGTGCCACTGTTGTGTTCACAGGCGTGAAGACCAATGTCACAGCTGTGTATGTATGCCTACTAGAGCATCCTGGTTAAGATATAAGAGCGAGACTTTTGCTGTTATGGGTGTATATTTGTGATATTTTATCATTGCTGCTGAGTGTTCACAATGAGAGGTTGGGATGCAGACAGTCAGAATAGTCCTAAGCAAGGGTGTCATATTTCTGCATCCCAGTCCGAAAGAATTAAAAACCCAAGTCCTTTTCCACCTGCTAGTTTCACCAGCATTATGAAAATGAAAATGAACTTGAAACTTGAAATGCTGTTGTGTTAACATTATCCAGTGAAAGTACATAGAGAAAATATTTCTTTCATGACAATGCCAAGGGGAAAGGAAAATGCCATAATAGCATTCCCCCTGGGCAAACTGCAGGTGAGAAGCTTTCGCTCAAGGGCAAAGTGCTAGCGATCAATGGCCTTGCAATTCATTCTGATTCTGCTGCAGGATTCTACGTCCTGGGAACTTTTCACACTGGGCTGTTTATGTCTCTAAGATTTAGTGTCTAAAGGAGTCATATTTCATGTTTTGCAAGCCTTAAGAAAGCTCTTTTGTGAAGTTTAAGAAGTGAACAAGCATTTTACTGTGCAAAGAATGCCCTGAAGCCAAATTGTACAGATAGCACAGCTCATGCTTGCTTCGCAAACAATAACACACCAAACACAAATATCTTTTGGGAAACTAGCACCTGTGTTTTAAACACCATCACTATCATAGGTAAAATAACTCAAATAATATTACCAGGTGGTACAAAGACATTCAAACATATATAGAAAGAATTTTGTAGTCTATTGTGTTTGAAAAGCAAAGTTATATAATGGATCCCGTGGAAAATACTGTCTTCTAACGTTAAAAAATGTGAGGTCGGTAAGAGTTTTAAATGTTTTTAAAAGACAACTATTATGCTCACCAAGGCTGCATTTATTTAATCGAAAATACAGTAAAAACAGAAATATTGTAAAATATCACTGCAATTTAAAATGTTTACTATTTTAATATATTTTTAAATGTAATTTATTCCTGATACATCGTTGAATTTTCAGCATCATTACTCCAGTCTTCAGTGTCACATTATCCGTCAGAAATAATTTTAATAAACAGTTGTGCTGTTTAATATTTTTTGTGGCAAATGTGTAATATTTTAGTTAATATTTAACACAAATTAATGTGCCCTTGCTGAATAAAAGGCTACACATTTTTTCCCCCAAAAAAACAAAACAAAATCTTTCTGACCCCAAGTGTTTGAACAACTTATGGTGATCATACTAGAGGAATCATATCATTAATCTTTAATAGATAAAAAGTAATAGGCATTTGGGTTTGTTTGTGTTCTCGGAAGCTGTCATACCTTTTCTTCTTGTTGAGGTGATTCTCTCCCAGGCGGTCTTTCTCTCTGCATGAGCACATTTTTCTTTTTCCGGGAACCATTGACCAATTTCTCCCCCTGCGATGTAACACATGGTATCTTTATAGGTTTATCAAATTTTTCAGACACATATTGATGCTTGGGTTGATATTTAGAAAAGCAATGTTGCGTTCACAAATTGTTGAGGAAAAGGCATTTTCAGACATCACAGGTTTTGCCCTTGCTAGATGTTTTTGTGCAACAATTCTAAAAAGGCTCAGTCTTCCTGTTTTTAAGAAACCATATTTCATCTTTTACATGGAGCTGTTTTCACATTGTACTGAGATGAAACAACATTAATGAATTCCAGCTGTGATCAGGGTGTGGCGTTCCCTTTGCTCTTCTCAGGACATAGCTTCTCAGAACTGTAATCTCATTCATGTCATGACCACACCTCCTCGGGGCTACTATCCAAAACAAAGCACAGAGCTTCAGCCTCCTCACTGACAGAGACTGAATTCTGTTACGGCGAACATGAGAACAGTTAGCAAAAAGGATCCGACATTGAGAATGCTGGATAAATGTTTTCCTCTGATTCTGACAGACGGGGAGAGATGTGTGGGAGTGCGTGGAGATAAGATAGAACAATGATGCCAGTGTTATCATGGCCTTCTGCACTGGACTTCATAGAACTTGACAGATAATCCACAAAAACAAGCCCATGAGAGTAAATTTAAGGTACTCAAAGAAGGGAGAGAAATTTAAATAGTTGAACACAGGACCTCCTTTTTTGGCCATATGTGTAGTCAGTTATTTGTAAAAACGTTTGGGAATCATTTGATGGATTTCGTCTTTTGGGGTGGCCATCCTGATACAGTGCAGCCTCGAGTGCCTTATTCCTTTAATAAAATGATTACTTCATAAAGTATTAAAGGGATAGTTCTCTTTAAAATTACAATTGTCATCAATTCCTCAACCCTCATGTCGTTCCAAACTTTCATTCATCTTTAAAACACAAATTAAGATATTTTTAAATCAAAGCAGATTTCTGTCCTATTAAAAGTCTATTCCATTAAAACGTTGATGCTTCAAAAAGAAAAAGAAAGTTCACAAAGGCATCGGAAAATAAAGACATCGTTATTTGCGTTTTATAGACAAATGAAAGTCTTGTGGATTCGGAATTACATGAGTAAAGGGTGAGTAAATATTGACAGATTTTCATTTTCATATGAACTATCCATTTACATGTAATAATAAAACACTAAGCACCACACTTATGTTAGAAAATACAGTTACTGGTATAAACAATCCTCCAGACAGTATAACATTTCACAGAAATGCTTTACTAAAAGCATCTAACAATACAATTGCAGACAACATTAATAAAGATGAGTTGCATTAAACTTTCATGCTCTTTTTGACAATATTTCTGTGCAGAATATAAATATACTAATATAGCACTTTGCATCTGCCATCTTAGCGTGTTTTCCCTGTTTCATATTCTATGCTGCTCACGTAATCTTACTGATTGAATTGAACACTATTCACTGAGGTCTATTGTTGTTGTATAAAGATGTGCTGGAGGGTGTAAACTCAAGTCTAGTCTCTGTATTTTCCAGTTCACTATATCTGTTTCCATGCAGTGGGTATTGTTGGTATAGAGCTGTGCACCCCGGCTTTGCTGAGACCAGTTATGTTGTCATTCTTTGTTGTTTAGCTAAATGTTTTTATTGTAATACTGGTCCTGGATCGGTGCAAATTTCAAGCCTTCCTGTAATCCAACAGCTGTAACTCGGGCAATCCAGGCCACAGGTAGATAGTATCCAATGGAGGATAGGATTACCACACACACCCATCTTAATTTTGCAATGGATTCTGGTCTTGGTTCTTTGTTAAGGCAGTAATAGAATATCTCACTTAAATGAAAAGTTCTAGTCTTTACACTTAACTATCCCGATTCCTGACCGCACTCTTCCCTCTCCTCATTTTGTCTTCCATTGACCTTGTTTCACTTTTGTACAGTTATGTCACCAATTATGTTGCAAAGAATTACACTTCAAAAACTATATTGAAAGTCAATGCAAAATCCCCATGTGAAACCTGACCTCACCAAGATAGGCTACTAGATGCTTATTATAACTGGTTAATATTAACACGAAGGCTAAAGAAATAATATTCTCCAATATGTTAACAAAAAAAAGCTAATTTATATGCATAAAGGTGCAGTCACATTAGCAAAATATCTACAAAATTTCACAGGCAAAAAAAAAAAAAAAAGAAGTAGCTGCTTTCTGTTGGCCGATGTGATCACCTTGAACACAATGCAAAATCTGCATGGGGAAATCTTTTGCCTTCACTTGAAATTCGCAATCGCCAAATTCCCAAACTAACTGGCCATTGGCAGCTCATCAGGCAGGCCTGGGTTTTGTGTATTGACACTGGCCCTTCCCATGAGGCAGACACTGATAAGGCCATCAACAGTTTTTTGTTGGCTGAGGTCCTGGATTTCTATTTCTCATTAGTGTCTGGGCTACGAAAGTGCCTGATGTTCCCAAAGCAGCTCCTATCAGAGACCAAAGAGGGTTGAACTTCAAGGACTAAGAGCTGTAGGGTGCAAGTTCCAGGCCAAGGTACAGATAAAAACTCTCATGAACGTGCAGACACACCTCTCTTGACTTATTTCTCAGTTCATCACTGTCAGTAGAAGGCATATAATAGCAGGTACTGCCAAATACACATATTAATTTGTCACACAGACTAACTGTTTCTGTAAACAAGCTCAAAATGAACTTCACCTCCCTTGGTAAATAGGTGTTTCAATTTCATGAGCTTTGTTTCATGTGACTCTTTGGGGGCAGCTCAAGGATATTTATAAGCCTAACTTGTTTCTAAACATATTGGCTTGGTAAGTAAAGTGACGTTTAACTATGAAATCTTTACATATAGTTCCAAGAATGGGAGTTGGCGGCCAATAGTGTGTGAAATCACGCGCTTGTGTGCATATCTGCATGTGATTTTATCAAGATAGGTGCCTGTCATGCTACTGGCAAGGCAGTATGGATCTGTGAAGCACAAAGGAAGTGATGGGTCTCTAGAGAAAAGACACAGTCTCTGATTTATCTCTCTGAAACAATGACTCATAGACTATTTTTTTCTGAAAATGTCCCCTTTCTGTAATTCAATCTGTCACACGCTTAAATGGTAAATCCTTTACACCATAATTATTTTCTGTTCATTTTTCTCCCCTTTTGCCAATCATCTATGATATATCTTCTATATATTTTTGGAAGCATTTTTGGATGAATTTGATCAAAAGTACTGTAACAGTAATATTGTGAAATATTAAAACCATTAAAAATATATATTTTAGTATATTTTAAAATTAGTGTGATGGCAAGGCTGAACTTTCAGCAGCAAAAGTGTCACATGATCCTTCAGAAATGATTCAAATATGCTGATTATATTCGAATACGTTCAAGAAACATTTCTCGTTATTATCAGTGTTGAAACCATGATACATAGAATTTATTTGAAATTAAAAAATGATAAAGTCTTTACTGTCACTTTTAATCAAATTAATGCATCCTAGCTGAATAAAAGTAAGAATTTCTTTCAAAAAAAATCCTACTGACCACAAACTTTTGAAAGGCATAGTGTACATAAATTTTTGTCTACTGTTGTTGCTTTGTTTGTATTCCTCGTTTTCTATAAAATGTGAAAAATAAACAAAAAAGATACATATTTTAAAATAGTTGAGAATGTCATGCAAATGGAAGAAAACATGCCGGGACCACTATAGGACCACAGACCCCGAGTTATAATGTGTCATAATCTGAAGAAATCAGTAGTTTATGTAATCTTGTTGATCTTATCCTGTTGTCGAGCCATCAAACCATTTGAGGGGCAAGCCAAACAGACGGAAGATGTCAAAGTCAGGGAAAAGAGGAAGTGTATTATTATGACGTGAAGAGATGACTAGCGCCAATCTGTCTGGCTGTACTGAAAGATGCTAAAATGATACTTACAGAGCTGCCGGTTTCATTCTGGGTTTTAGGATTGTCCTCGGGCCGGAGGGTTAATCTGAGACGCCTGATTCTCCTCTGGTGGACATTCGTCACATATATACACAGATGCAAAAATGGAAAAACAGACAAACAAACAATGATTAGTCACAATCTATGTTTAATTAGGCAGACAATCGCGATTGACATCACAAGATTAAACGCAATTTCGCTGAAACCAAAACAAAAACTTCCAAGTCCTGTCAAAGATAACGCTTATCTGATCCGAGAAATGTCACGCATGAAAAGGAGAAAAAGGCTGCTGAGACTGATAAAATAACAATACTGTATTAAAATATGCCTGCCCTTATAAATGCTTCAATGATTAACCACTTCAGATGTGGCTGTCTATTCAATTCAAATCAATAATTACTACAGTCAAAAATGTGGTTCTCAGCGTTTTGATGGCCTCTACGCTGGTTAGCACCCTCTGAGAGGGTGTCAGTTGATTAGCTGTAAGAATGTCTCTGAATGGCAGCTGACCGCAGCAACAGCGGCAGAGCGCCAGGCCCTGATAAAATAAACATGACAGGGCCCTGCCTCCCTGGACAGTGGCTCTTATTACAGGCCCCTCTCTGAACAACACAATGCACACATCAACAGCGCACGATTAGCCTGAATATGGACAAGCCATTAGGGCACAGTTCAGAGCAGAGTGAGAGACACAGAGGACTGAGAATGAAAAAAACAAAGACAAACATAAACACCTCATTGAGAATCAGTTATAGTCGAACATTCACAAGGAAACAAAGTTCAAAAGAGCAAGAAAACGTAAGCGAGCTAAAAGTACTATTCACTAGTGTCTCCTACCTCATTGAGGTCTGGTAGCTCTGTGGTGGTTGTGGTGCGAATGGCACCAGTCATTCCATTTTGCAGCATATCTCCTTTTCACTGTCCAAGTCACACGTCCACACAAACACTATCAACGTCTGTGCCCACCACTGCAGGCGACACACCAAAACAGGATAAACGTGGTGTGTGTGAAAGAGAGGAAGAATGGGGGGGGAAAGTTCCCTTCAACAGCTTTGCCAGAATTCCTTCCCCCGGATGAGAATAGAGAGAGTGAGAGAGAATCAGGAGGAAAAAAAGAGGCTCAGTATTCCAATGTGCAGAGGTCAGTAGAAACACAGCCCTCCAGTGTGCAGACAACTCCAGAGTGACAACATCCCATTTAGACTCCTCCTGACTGAGAGAGAGAGAGAGAGAGAGAGAGAGAGAGAGAGAGAGAGAGAGAGAGAGAGAGAGAGAGAGAGAGAGAGAGAGAGAGAGAGAGAGAGAGAGAGAGAGAGAGAGAGAGAGAGAGAGAGATGAGAGATGTCAGTCTTTCAGTATCTGAGCTGGCTACGTAAGTCTTGTTTCCCATCAGACCCGTTGAACCACATTTCACCTGTGTGCGTTCTCCAGCTCCCACCTAGCCGGCTGCTTTCATAGGGTGGGGTTAATGGCATTGGGGTGGAGTCCTCTCTATTTCTACACGGGAAGGAGTTATACCACTTTTGATTGTAGTGTGACTTGTTATTATGCATAGAATAATAGTGGTGGATTTAAATTTAATTTAATTTAGCAATTGGATCATAACAATGAGAAGTGGGGAAATAAGAAAAAAGCTTTGTATAATTGTAATAATGTGTTATTATTTCAAATCATGTAATCAAGTAATAGATAACTCATAAATGTAAATTCTGACATAATTTACTACCCTAGTGTCATTCCAAACCTGTTTGACTTTCTTTCTCCGTGGAACATATTTTGAGAAATGTCGGCTTTTTTGTCCATATAATGGAAGTCATTGGTCACCAAAAGTGTTTGATTTACAACATTCTTCAAAATATCGACTTTTTGTTTCTTTCAGGAGAAAGAAAGTCATACAGATTTGCAATAACATGAGGGTGAGTAAATGATGAGTCTAGCAGTAGGTACAACTTTGCAACTGTTAAAAAGTATGTTTGTTATCATGAATTTGGGTTGTATGACTGAATTTCAGACTACTACATCACCCATGTTGTCATGTGACCTACCAGCATCAGTTGCATAGCTTCATTGCCATTTACAACTCTTCTCCTGTAGCCTCATGAGATTGTAAAGTGTTCATTATATGCTCACTTCAGAATCCCACCATAAATAGTAGATAATCTGGGTTCTTTTCACCTACTGTTTTATAAGTACTATGAAAACTACTCTTGTCACATAGTGTTTTTCACCTACTACATAGTAAGGAAGTTGGCATATTCTGACGCAAGTAACATTTTCATTTATGGGTGAACTAACCCTTTAATTTTTTTTATTCTTTTCTAATTTTGTCCAACACCAATTGATGTTGCAGACAAACAGACTGCACCGCAGATGCCTTAAACTTTGCCCTATGAAATCTTTAATCTGTGTGATTTTGTTTGCTTAACATATTTCAAAGTGCGCAAGTTGTAGGTCAATCATTAATTTAGGACGCAGATAGTCTACTACATGACCGAGTGTAATCATTAACCTCCATATTTGTGAGATTCACCCCTTGGAAAACACATACAGGTTGTAAATCTCATGTCTAATGGCTTTTTTCCCACATTAACACAGACCTGGCCCAATTTAATCTTCATCACAGGGATAAATTGGGTTGTTTTAGTGACAAACAATCTTTGGAATATGACAAAGGTCTCCACATATAGAAATCCATGAGCAAGACGATCAGATCAAGCTGCATGTGAAAGGTCACAGGGATTATGTTTCATGCCTTTCATGATGGAAAATAGGATCCCTGTTGGAGTGGTATCCTACTGGAGGAGGTTTGCTAGTCCCATTCAGTCCTATAGTGCTCAATAAGGCACTGAAGAGGTACACCTGTGAATAGATGACTTCAACTCCAGCAAGGGCTTCAGATGAAGCAAACTCTGAATCAACATGTACCAATGCTAAATTTTCTATATCATAATCATTTGTTAACAATATGTATTCATTACTTCAATGAGCTCATTGTTTTCTGCCTTTAATACATTGTTAGCTAACTGCGTGATTTGTATACATTTCTGAAAAAAAAAAACATAACTTAGAAACAACTCTGATAGCAGATCACTCTAAATTGTAATATAGACACATGAAAAGTACTAAAGAAAAAAAGAGGTATTGGGCTTATCACTGTTTCTGCAAGTACTGCCTACATTTTTGTGCTGTTGTTTTTTATGAATGAATGAATGAATGAATGAATGACACACACGCGCGCGCACACACACACACACACATATTTCGTGATCAATTAAATCTATATTTAAGGCATTAATATCACACAAGGTTATCTTCTAGGGAGGTGCTATATACAAATATAAAAAAGACACGACCTTAACAACAAATAAAAAAAAAATTCAGGAGACGTGAGTCGTGTGCATGGATCGATTATGCGGTTTTCATGCCAACAATTTCTGTGTAACGTTACGGCTACTACAGCATGTTTGTCTTTCTTCTAACGTTATACGGTAGGCCTATATTTCGCGGTTCGGATCCCTGGTGTGTTGGTGTACTTAAATATACGTTTTAAATCATGTTCACTCACATATGAGATGACTCCAGGAGACAAACGTTGTATTGTTGTAACGTTAGTTGGGCTATGTGCGTTGTGAAGGCCTCTTCCGTCTTGAGACATGACCAGCCGAATAATGTTAGTTCTCTATCACCGCCCATATTATCGGACACTTTGAAAAAGTTTGGGAATACTCACACATAATTTATACACATAAAACACGATTTCAGAGTTTTAAATTCAAACGTTTAAAAAGAGAACAATATATCACGGCTGTTTAAACCAATGAGCATTAAGCTGTGTCGTCAGCAAGTCGTTTCCCATCATGCTTTTGATCAGCGCAGTCGGTGGAGAGCAACTGTGCGCGACTGCAGAACACTCCGACTTTTTGGGACTTTAGCCTATTCACCTTATCCCCCAGAGTTAGATAAGTCCATACATACCTTTTTCATCTCCGTGCGTGCTATAAGTCTGTTTGACGCATCCACCGCTAGCCTAGCTTAGCACAAAGACTGGATGTAAATGGTTGCAGCTAGCATACTAATCCAAATAAGTGACAAAATAACGCAAACATTTTCCTATTTACATGTTGTGATTTGTATAGTCACAGAGTGTACAAAAAACAAAGTCACATGAGACAGACATATTTTAACCGTATAAATACTGGGAACTATATTATCTGAAGGCGAAGCACTGCTACTTGGGCGGAGTGATAACCGCAGCACCTGAGACGCGCTCTCTGCTCCTCACCACCATAGACCACGGCTCGTCTCAGGTGCTGCGGTTATCACTCCGCCCAAGTAGCAGTGCTTCGCCTTCAGAGAATATAGTTTCCAGTATTTATACGGTTAAAATATGTCTGTGTCTCATGTGACTTTGTTTTTTGTACACTCTGTGACTATACAAATCACAACATGTAAATAGGAAAATGTTTGCGTTATTTTGTCACTTATTTGGATTAGTATGCTAGCTGCAACCATTTACATCCAGTCTTTGTGCTAAGCTAGGCTAGCGGTGGATGCGTCAAACAGACTTATAGCACGCACGGAGATGAAAAAGGTATGTATGGACTTATCTAACTCTGGGGGATAAGGTGAATAGGCTAAAGTCCCAAAAAGTCGGAGTGTTCCTTTAACCTTAAAAAATAAGAATTGTCAAATTTGATTTCATAGTGACTTTTACAGTTGGCTACATTTAGTGTAATAACTGCATTGTAACTTGTAGGCCTATCTTTAATGCTGACTGATCTTGAACCGATTACAAATAAAATGAATCAAGGTGTCAATAAAAATTACTGTAATAATAAAAAAAAACTCAAAACCAACCTGACAACCTTTTTTGCACAAAAATGCTATGTGTCAGTCAGTAGAAGACCAAGGTGTTCAAAATCAGCTCGATATAAACAAATTACTGATGACAAATTACTAACTTTAATACTCATGTTTTATTTTAATATAGCAATAAATTGTCAGGCAATTTGTTGGCAGGATTTAGACCACTGAATGTTTTAATGAAAATAGCTTTTGAACAGTGCTCAAAGCACACAATGCCTGAATCAAATTGAATGGCTTTATACAGTACTACATCAATTATTCACAAGAACTATTGACAACATATTACAGGATTTTCCTGGCTGTGGGAGCTTTTCCACATTAATGCTAAAACAGGATAGTCTATGTCAGATAAATCCTCCCCCAATCTGTCTTCCTCACCATGTGATATTATTCAAGTTCAAATGCATCATTACCTACAACACAAAATGACAGATAAACACTGTTACATCCATCCATTCAGCTCACCTCACCTACAGTTTATGTCTGGTTGCACCCTGTTAATAAGGAAAAGAAAAAGTGAGCAGGAGCTACATATTGTGTTATTACGTATTGTCACCTTGCTTACCTGGTGTTACTAGACGGCCTGGATTCCCTGAGGTGCATATCAGAAACATTTCTGAGATGAGATGAGGAGCGACAACAGAAAAAGGAAGAAAAACAGAGAGGGTGGAAAAAGACCACTAGAATATCTGGCAGGAAGACAGTCTGCAAATAAAGTGTGTTTGTTTGTAGATGTTATGTACAGAGAAGGGGAGTGGACCTAAAATCATGAAGTCACCTATTTACATTTTTAAGGAATCTTATTCGGAGAGACAGAAAGTCAATCAACAAATACTAACATATAAAAGGCATGACATTTATGATTTGACCATAGAAAGAGATCTAAATGTGAATATTAGGAGCAATCCCGTTCTGTTATGTTGAGGTTGATTCCACCATTTAGGTTTGGTGGATGAGCTGTAAGTTAAATTTTGCCCAAATTTGTGGGCCTACACTTTTTTCTGTTTTCCTTTTTGCAATCAACACAAATGACTAATCCTGCCTGAAATAATGGCTAAGTGCCTTATTGTAGTGTTCCCAGGTTTTAACATGATTGGTTGAGCTGTATTAGAAGCTAAACATGAATGTTATGTAATGTCACTACATTAACTTTCAAACACACATTCATTATATATATTAAAAAGTGAACTAAAAACAACAAATCTAAGAAGGCACCTGAATGGTGTTGTAACCAACAACGTGTATTGTTTAGCCAGCACAACTGCTGTCTTGGAATAATTGCCTTGTTGTTATTTGCCATGACCCGTACAGCAGCTTCACCCGCGGCTGACAGGTGAGTAATTACAGCAGTTTGACTGTCTGACAACATCTTACTCTGTGATGATGTCCATACAG